TTCACTTCACACTTCGCATTTTCTTTTTTTTTTTTTTCGTTTTTAAGATTAAATATATTTAAGATTAAAATTATTTGTTGAAAATGTAAATTTCTACTTCATTACATATATAATATTACTGTTCCGAATTAATTATACCAAAAACATTAGCATTAATACTTAAAATTATAAATGGAAAGGATCGATTGATTTTTTAGCAAATCATTAAAAATTTCCGTTAATATTATATCTGAAAGATTTTACAGTAACAGATAAATCGCTCTGCTTAATTATTATTGCTTGTGATAAACAGCGGAAACATAAACGAAATCACTATTTGGACTTTAAAATATAAAAAGTTTCAATTTACTACCAATTTAAGACAGGTAGAAGATTAAGAAATGCACTTAAGATGTCAATAAGAGCAAGGGTAATTTTCTACGCCAACAATATTTTGTCTTATTTGCTTACCTTTAAATGAACAACTAATAAAGACTTGTTCTTTGGTGGTATCTTTCCTAGTCTCTAAAATTTATTGTAAAAAATATTGAAAAATATTAACAAAACACTAAAAAAAAAAGGAGAATTGACAATATTAATACAAATGCAAATACAATTAATACATTTAACAATTCTAGACAGATAGAATGAAAATTTCAATAAAAAAAAAAAAAAAATCAAACATATTTAATATACTTTCTGAGCAAATTGTTCAAATGTGGAAAAATGAGACATATGAGCAAGAAGGCAAGAAGTCAATTTAAATAAATGACTCTGTTTGACAAAAATTCATGTCAAGCAGATAAATGCGTGAAATTACTGCTGTACTCAATATGCAGTAACTTTACAAACAAATTTGTAAACTGTAAACTAAAAAATTGAATTATACGTTTGGAAGCTTATCAACTAATAGCAGTTTTTTAGCTTCCATTACATATCAAACATATGTTTCATCAAATTCTTGTAATTAAAACGAACAATATTTACTCAAAATATTGGAAGAAAAAAGAACCATTAAAAAAAAAAAAAATCATTGAATGAAACATAAGAAAATACGTCGCATCCATTTGCCTGAAGAGTAGGTTCAATGTACAAACAAGGAATAAACAGATACGAAAAATATTGAAAATGGAAATTTGTTTATCGCTTATTCCATGATTTAGCGCCACCACGCCCACCACCTCTCGCAGAATGTCGACCACATGGTCCACCTCTTCCCGAATTTCGATCGCGTCCACCGCGAACTGCGACACCCTGACTATGTGCTTGGCCCGAGGTTTTACGTGTTCTCCTTGTTTGTTGTGGAATATCAATCATCAGTGCATCCAAATTCAAATTGTTTGGAAAAATTATGTATCGTATGTTATTTCCTGAAGAAGAAAGGAAAACTCCATGGTCCGGAAAAATCAAACTACCACCTGCCTCATTCACTCCAAAGCTACCTAAGTTAACCGGCCTTTATCCCGAAGCCTGGACAGAAATAATGAATATCTCTGGCAACTGCCAGAATAGTACTTTTGAGCTTTCTATATCTTTTACAAAATCCAAGCAAATTATCTAAACACTGTAACCTTGTGCACCTTTACAGGATACAACCAAAGTTGATAAATTTGTGTATATAACACAAATATTTGAAGAATTTGTTAGTGGTCCTATTTTGTTCCACTTAGTTAATAATTTTCCTACATAACTTAGTGTCATGTAAATCTGACTTGCATTTTAAGCTTTTATACCTATTAGTACCACTCACCATTATCGTTTTTTAATAATCTCTATAGTAAATGTACCTCTAATTGAAACTGCATCCACAGAAGCAGGTTTCTCACTTTTTAACGTCATTGAAACACGGTTTAAATGGAAATTCATTGCTAGATCAACACTGCTAACATAACCCATCACCACCGTACCATTTTTTAGTTCTATTGTGACAAATTTATTACGTAATCTCATCAAAAAATGCATCAACATCATACTGAAATCTGAAATGAAACAGATACAAAGACCACAAAAATTTCTAGTGATCACGTTCCCACGAAAACGCAAAACGTGTGAACCTTTCCTGATTGCAAATTAAAAACAATGGTTCATACTCCATCTTTCATTCATAAACTGTATTCAGGACTATCTGAAGAATCTATTTTTAGCAGGACAATAGCACTCTCCCCATATCATTCTGTACTTTATTGTATCACGAACAAAATTAAAGGGAAACCATTAATTCGACTGATTGATGGCCATTTTTCTGTAACTTGAAGCATAATTACATTACTTCCGCCTTAGAAGACACATCGTCATGCACACAGCGATTGGAATCTACCCGTTAGTACAGGAGATAACAGACTTTAGCCACCTAAACTTCATTACCGCGAACTACGAAACACTTGCCCTATTAAATCCGAGATCACTGTTATTAAATATGAATGTTCATCAAATGTTAATGTCAATTGTAACGTAGCATACATCCATAAATATTTTAAGATGGAATGGCTGAGCAGTGGTGATGTCTTCGTGTTTGCTTAACGCTATCCGGAAATATAACTTACTTCTTGACATAACTTCATCCACCTCCTTATAAGCAAGGAATATATGGTCACGTTCGATGTCCTAGGAGCAAACTTTAATAGAGATCGTAAAAAGTAACAACAATGGACTGTAAGGATAATAATGCTACAAAATGAATCTGAACAATGTGGATAACAAGGATACAAATTTCAAAAAAGTGACAAAAATTCTCAGCCGAAAAGCTTTCCAGCGAAACATAAAATACATTTATATTTCCAGCATAATTCAAAAAATGAAACAATTTTCCAATTTTGAAAAGTATGAGAATAACTTACTCAACTGACGAACAAAACTGAACTACGTGCCTAGCTTCTGCTTACAGCATCATAACATAACTCATAACTGTTCTGCAGCTGACTGGTAATCTATTCCTTTACACAGCCATTAAAAGAAGTGTGAGATAGAGGAACATGAAGTAAATTACTTCTATAATCACTGTAAAATAAACTGCATTATGAAGAGTGATAGTGAAAAAGGATGTAACAATTAATTTCTGTTTCATTCTGTCCGTATAAAATTCAACGCATAAAAGATAAAGCATACATAATAGCCGCAAAAACTTATCGCCCACCCCTGAAACCACCACGACCACGAGGCCCACCTCTACCACGTCCGCGTCCTCGTCCACCACGACTCGGCGCAGATCGACCACGTCCTCCACGTGCCGGCTTTTTGCGAGGTTCATCATCAACCAATAATGTATCCAAAGGAATTGTGTCAGGTAAAATTATATACCGGATATTATTTCCTAAAAAAGATCCTTTGATAGTTATTAGTATTGAAAATTAAACCTTTTTTAAATAAGTTCATTAACCAACCAGCTTATCTAGATTACTCTGAATTTATCACAACGCTGAAATTAGATTCTCAGGAACTTATCCATGCTGTATACAGTACAATACTTAACAGAGAGCAGGACACTTAACTCTAAAAAATCATAAATTTAACCTCTGATGGATAGTGAATCTAGGGAAACGGGTTCTCTATTCTTGAGTGTCATTTTGACGGTCCGTAAATGGGTATTCATTGCTACGTCGACACCAACAATGGTACCTGTTACCAGCGTTCCATTCTTCAATTCTATTGTTACACTTTCGTGGGCCAGTTTCATCAAAAAACGCACCAGCTTCATACTGCAGTCTGAAAAGATAAAGATGTTAGACAAGCGTAAACACGTAAAGATTTCCGTTATAGTAGAAATTTGACAGTGATTTAAGAACATAATAAACGTGAGAGCAACGTGAGAGCAACAAATGAGAGCTAAAAACAAACGTGAGAGCAACAAATGAGAGCTAAAAACAAGTCGCCGAAGAGAAATCTGTTTACTTACATACAGATAAACAATAATCAAGAAATACAATCCCAACAAATTGATAAGCTGAATAAAAGTTACGCAATAAGTATATGATGAAATTATGTCTAACTGAAAACTGATCCATTCTAGCTGTCAACAAATTACACACAATCTATTCATAGCAAACTACGCATCAGAGTATACCTGAATAGTCTTAACACGAAAGTCTAGCAAGATTTCCGATCATAAAATTTTGGACCATAAAATTTCTAAACACTGACATGACAAATTCAGTGCTCTAACACTAGGCTATAGATAAGTCCTAAGGAATCATCGAGCACCAAAAACCTCTCACAACCTCGGGGGACACACCCCACCACCACCCACAATCACGAAATTCAAGACCATGATCATCTACCGTATCCTGCCCTGTTGTTGCATAGAAACAGCTATGAGAAATGCAATGAAATCTCAAATTGACGATTTATAGCTCCCAAACAATACTCCGGATTGATCGTTCGTTCTTACATTTTTCAAAATTTCTGGATATGTGTTCAAATACCATTTCCCTTTTCTAGAAAGTTACATATCATGACAGAAGGCTTACATTATAGGAATATGGTATAAAATATAGTTGGAATAACTGAATCAGATTTTTATTACCACTTAGTTTTATGCTGTAATGCAAAGGTGACACTAAATAGAGAGAAAGAGAGAGAAACTACTCTCGGAAGCTACAAAGAAGCTGAGAAAATAATATCACCTCGTCCGGTTAGTGAATTCATTCGGATAGTTCAGAAGCTGACATTGTCTTTCTCTCCAAACGACACATCTACTATTAACAAAAACCTTCTCTCTCTCTTTCTTTCTCCCTCTCTCTCTCGGTAGAGTAACACTTAATGTTTACGTCACTCTTAATCAATTACGTGTCCCTCCACCATCGTATCTAAGTTTATCATTCATCTCGACGACTCATCAGCACTCCTTACGCGATTGGTGTATGCTACGATGACGTATGGTTTGGGACTGGATGGAGTGTATGGGTACACTGACTTAAATGTAGCGATTACAGTTGTTGCGAGGGGTGTGTTGTGATAGATTAGCAATCGCTCAATAAATTGCTAATTTCTGGATGGGACACTTTGACCTCTTTTTTCAGTTCTTCATGGGGTCTCGAGTTTACGTGGGAAGATTGTCGTATCGAGCGCATGAACGTGATATTGAACGTTTTTTCCGCGGCTATGGTCGCATCACGGAAATTTTACTCAAGAATGGTTATGCTTTCGTTGAATTTTCTGATCGTCGAGATGCAGAAGATGCGGTCCATGATCTGAACGGTCGTTCCTTACTCGGCGATAGGTTTCTTTTTTTTTTTTTTTTTTTTTTTTTTTTGTTGCCTTTGAATATCAAAAGAATTGCAGTTTATTGTTCAGAAAATTATACATTAATAAGTCAATGAATGCTCGGACACCATAGTCGTTCACTAGATCAGTTCTGTAATATAAATGTAGTAGTTGTTGGTTAAGTGTGCTCATTTGGGTATTGAATTTATATCTGATGTTGTTTTTAGGGTAATAGTGCAGAATGCCAAAAGTCGTCCGCGCGGACGGGATATGTATCGAGAACGGATGCGTGAGAGATCGCGTTCGCGAGATCGGAGGCGCAGTCGGAGCCGTGATCGAAAGCGAAGCCATAGCCGCGATCGGAAAAAGAGGTTTAAATTACTAATTTTGAATTATATTACACACACTTTCTCAATTTCTACATTATTTTTTTTTTCTACTATACTTTTTCCTACAAAATTTTCGTAGAACTTCTAACGTTAGAGTATGTTCTTCATAGTAAATATTAAATTCAGGAGCATGACCGAATATCACGGTAGGTTTCTAAAAGCTCAAATAATATAGCTTTAAATTGTCTAATTTCCTCAGAAAATATTAAAGCAGTTTTTGGGATTGACTGATCTAAATTATTACTTTGAAGAAGTTAACATGTAAGAAATAATTTTCAGGGTATCTTCAGACTGCTTTATTTGAATAAAATATAAAAGGTTTGTTTGATTTGGGTAAATAAATTTTAGAAGACATTCATCAAGTGAAAGTGAATCTCCTGAAGACAATCGTCGCCGCTCATCATCAAGATCACAGAGTTTAAGTCCGAAAAAAAGCTCCAAGAAGTCGGATAGAAAACGAAAGCGTGACAGAAGTTCATCAAGTCGTTCCCCCAGTCCAGATGCGAGAAAATCTAAGGACAAGCGTAAGGAGCGGAAATATCGGAGCAGTTCAGAAAAGGTGAACTTAAAGCTTTTACTGATATTTCTAATAGAACATAACTTTGTTTCAGACAACGTAGAATCTTATAAAGTTTTTTTATACAGATTTTTACTTTTATAGAGGTTTCAATCATTTTAATATTAATTCTAATAATCTTTACTTGTTTTATTTGATTTCTGTTATTACAAAAATTATCACTAGTTGGTACTTTAAAATTCTTCCTTGTCGCCACATTCTGAACATTTATAACTAACATACGTTTGGATCATGTTAGATAATATACAATTTATAGCGAAGCCATAGCCGTGATCGGAAAAGTTGTACTTGATTTAATTTCATCTAATATGTTCTTTGAAAAAGATTAGCTGATATTGAATACCAACATTTTACATGATTACCAGAATTTTGGGCTTGCAGGAAGGAAGTTTGGATCGTAGCGGTGCAAATGCATGCAGCATCATCGTTCGTGGTTTTGAAAACAAGGGCAAATTTGAGAAGGTTCAGTTAATATTTCATTTTTATATTTTATCTTCCCTGTAGTTCATCATCTGATGAATTGGAACTTTGATCTATAACAAATCACACTAAACTGGACAGAATTCACTTTTCTTGACAACAGTGGCGCATCTCGCTTTAGTTGACACTATTTGACATGATGCCAGAATTTTAGGCTGGGCCTAGGACATTAATGTTGTATGATTTTTCAATGCCCGTTAAGGACTGGAAAATATCTTTACTTGAGGACCTACTTCGAGGATTACAAAACCAGTGTAGTTATCGAGAGTTTAACCAGATTTAAAAAAAAAAAAAAAAAAGCGTGTAACAGTGTGGTACCACTGTGTTAAGCATTGAAAACAAAATATTCGGATTCAGAAGTTTGATGGGATATGTTTTTATGCGTCACTACTGCTACCAGCGCATCATTGTCCGAGTGGTGCATAAATGTGAATGTTGTGTTACAAACATCTACCGTTCGTTCACGTTCATCCACACAGTTCATGCATTCGTTCGTTCGTTCGTTCGTTCGTATACTCACCGCGCACTCAAATCATCCGGTTCATCCAACCATATCCAAATCTTGCGTGTATTCGTTTTCCATGGCGTGACGTTCGTGCATACATCCGGTCGACAGACTATGCAACCGCCTCATCACGTGGTGCGCTCTGTTCAGGCAACTCGTTCCGTAGCTGCATTGCTCAGCCCTATATTATCGTCCGTAACCATTCATCTGGATTGTTGAGCACACGAAATGCATTATTAGAAATTAGCGGTACGCCGCATTGCTCTTGATTCTGGATTTCGATGGTTCTTTTTAACTTTTCTTCAATTTTTTTCTGAAAATTTTGTCTCAAAATTTTTTAAAATTTGTCCATTATTTCAACAAATTTGTTTTCAGCGTTTAAAGCATATTGCCAAGAAGTATGGCGATCTGACAGATTTTGAAATGCGCGATGACAATACTTGGTATGTTTGATTATTTGGTCCCATAAAAAAGAATTTGATTCTTGCCATTTTGTATTTTTTTTTTTTTTTTAAATTATTGCGCAACATGAATGCAATTGAGAGGGTTAAGGAGTTGTTTGCACATAGAGATTATTGATCTTTTTTTATAATTTTATTGGTGGTGTAACATCACAATTGTTGATTACTTATCTCTTAACGCACAGGCATTTTTCCGGTCTCATCATACCGGCGTTGCATTCCTAAATGTTGTTTAAAAAATATTAAATTTAAGTAGTAGATGGTTATAACATATTTAGATAAAAGTTAGTATAATTTTTTTCCAAATACGTAATTAAGACCACTTGTATTCGAGTTCATAGTAATCCTTTATGTTTTCAACTTTTTGTATAATATTCCTTTCGATATCTTTTCTGGTCAAAGAAGTTTAACCCACTTTTTTTCCCTCTAATTTTTCCATTAGTAACTGATACAGGAAGGAAAGAAGTAGTGTTCAGTATAATTCATTGAGATCGATTTTTTTTTTTCGAAAGATAAAGTAATAATTTAGTTGTTTTATGAGGTATTACGGTTTTGGAATGAAGTATAATACTTTCTTATCGTTAGAAAGGTAATTGTCTTCAGAAAACGGTTAATGATTTAACTCCAACAAAAATATGTATGCATGTGTGACGTGCATGCATGTAGTGTCTTAACGGTTGGTTAAGTAATCGATTGATCCATTTTGTTTCTGTGCAGTGTCCTTGAAATCCACATCCACTGTTGTGAAGACCTTAATGTTTTAATGACCACCTTCAAGGGTCTTAGATTTTTGAATTAACGTTTGAATAATTTTTTTTTAACAATGAACCGCACAAAAATACACGGAGTAGGGATAATAATAATGAAACGTACATTTGAAACCAGTCATCTTAAACTTTAGAATGAGGATGTTTATTCAGTGTAAAAAATGTTCTCTATAATTGGTATGGCGCAAAAATAATTTTGAGTAAGCTAGAGGAAAAATTATTTGGATCAGCCGTAATTTGTCACTCACCTGAAACTTTGATATATCTATTTTCAAAAAATTTTATCTTTATCACTTCGAATATGGCAGTGAATGATTAAAGCAAATTCCGGATTAAGGACTGCAATCCAAAAGGTTTTTTTTTTGAAAATTAATGATATTTAAACAGTATCTAAATATGCTTTTTCAAATAAAGACTCCGGTTTTTTTATTATTTCATCAATGGATTTTTCACCAAATTAATGTTTAGAAAAAGTTTATCCATTCATTTTAAAAGCCTATTCCATTTCTGAGAACAGTTATCTATTTCGACACTTACAAAACTACCATATAAATGCTTAAAAACAAAAAAAAAAAAAAAAAAAACTGTTCTTATTTGAGTAAATTAAAAGTATCAGCAAAGTGCTAATATATTTGACAACGATGAAAAATCTATACATAGCTTATGTGCCGGTAGATTACTATATGTGACTGTTACACTTTTCTTTGAGTTTAAAATAAAAACTGCTTACCTCGTATAGAATTATTTGGAACTTGAAAATTTAATAGAACTTATTGCACTAGGAGAGAACTTTTCTGGATATTAGTAAGATAACTCTCCGAGTTAAACAAAACTGTAAAAACTGACGTTGATGGAAGCAGAAGACACACTTATATCGCAGATGTATTCGTAACTGCTAGCGTATAACTAATTTATCTCGAAATGTGACATGATTTTCAGTTTAAGTATACTATCACTGTTGTGGGGAAAACACTAAGGTTATCTGCTGGTATTGTACTTTGAAAAAATCAATTCGGAGTTCATTTTAAGTACGTTGTAGAGAATGAATGAAGCCGAAAGACTACAAGTGGGATAGTAGGACAAAGAGAATCTTTCCACATTAACAGTAGATTAGAGGAAGAAGGGAGGAATGGAAGTATTTGAGAATAACAGATGAAACAGATGAACGTTGTTTAATCATATGAAATAATTTTTGCGAAGTTTCCATTTTGCACAGTAGGGACATAATGAGGACAGTATTGCACAGATTAATAAATAATGTTTTTATGTATATAATTGTGATTCGAAATGATTCACAAGCAGTTATCTCTTCGTGAAATGTACAACAAGTAACTTGTGCATGAATAATTGTAACTATTTTGCTTAATTCAAAAGATGCCATTTCCTCCGAGCAGTTCTAAAAATCATTGAGTGATTTGTTAGTTACATTCATATGACTTATCACTTATAGCCAACGAGTTAGATCATTGATAGCCAACATGTGAAGTTGTTTGCAGACAATCTCTCTTAGTGTGGTCTGTTGCTAGGCTTTCACTCACAACGACAGCTAAGGCTTTGACTCATTCATGGATTGTGCTGAAGACAAGTTTTGAGACTATATGGCTCAGTCGTACGCTTTTTGTGAACTACATTGATTTCGTCATCTACATGCATCATTTTGTGACACTGAGAGAGAAGCTTTGAAAAGTTGAGGTAATTCCACAATGTGTGAAGAATATAATTAGATGGTATGTCATTGTGCTTGAATGATTCTCGAAGAAAGTGTGTAGGAGATAGGCTCATCATACGTGTGGCAAGTGAGTGGATTTTCTTGTGGAAAAATGAATGAAATAGAGAAAGAGCGGCCTAGTGAAACGGTTATAGAAGCGCGAATAAAAAAAGATGGTGGTGGGAGGGAGGGACAGAAAGGAGGAAGGGTAGGGTAGAAATGTATGAGGTCGGGAAGGTATTTAAAGGGTGGGTGCTTGGCTATGGGTTGGGTGGATTTCGTAAGAGAAGTAAAGGAAGCCTTTGAGGAGCTGCTGGCTGATGCTTCCAAGGGAAGAAAAGGGAGGTATGGGATAGGTTCTGCTTGCGAGGGTGTGTCTGTTGGCTCTGATTCAAGGGCATCCCGTCCGACCTTGCCCAAACCATTAACATCAATGCAGTCAGCGTCGTTCGCTTCCATTTGTTTTCAAAATTGTTGTCAGAAGTGCGACTTCTGCCCGCCATTCTTTTTTACGTTGTTGTGCAATGCAGTCTACCCATGCTCCGGGTATTTCCGTCATTCATCTCGGTCCGAAACCCGATTCAGTTGCTTTACTCCTGTCAGTTGCTCAATGACGACTAATTTTGGTTTATTAATAGGCTATTTGCCTTTTACATTTTCTACCCATCTCTCTGTAGTGAACTTACGCCCTATAACGCTAATTTGGAAAAGACAATGGCCTAGAGGTGGACACGCATACCTTGTCGAGAAATACTTACTATTGATATTTTTTCCTCCTTTTTGTTCTTTCATAGATGGTAGCACTACAGTGCTTGAAACTAATTAAAGTATTGGGCACTTATGTTGCTTCCTTCTCCTTCTCCTTCTCCTGTTGTTTCTTGTTTCCATCAGTTCTATTCCCATAAATCTTTCACTCTTTTTCTGTATCTTCTCATACATACTATTGCAATAAGAATGAAAGAAAAGTTCTGTTTTTGATAGTTTTGGTGGAAGAAAGAAGTTGAAAATCAGGAAGAGCAAGTTCCAAAATGCATGCACGGATGAGATGAAAACGAATGAGAAGAGAAAGAGTAGAGCGCTCCAGTAAAGCTGACGGCCAGTAGTTAACTATCATATCTTACGGGACGTTGAGGAAATGAAGTGGGTTGCTAGTGCTGCTGCATCCTACCATCCGATAAGCAAGCACATTTTCACAGCGAGCAAGCCACCATCTTATCTGTCACATTATCCTTCTTCTTCACTCTTTTGTCTCCATACATTGGCTTCTTGAAAATGAGGCGTACTGTTTCATTTTGTTCATGGTAACTGGACATTGTCTCTTTGTACTCTTCGTCACACCATTGTCTTTTAATTCCACTTGTCCTCACTTGCACTAGCACTATTACTCTAATCACCGACAAGTTTTCCCATCGCTAGATTCTTCGTTTTTTTGTTCTCATCAAAATATTTCCTTTGAAATTAACTGCACACAAAAGTGTACAAATGGTTGTGTGTTTCAATGTTGCATAGGCGTAGTATAATAGGTAAAGGAAATGAACAGAGTAGGACGAAAAGAAATTGAATTTCCTGTTTTCATTGATTTACACATCATTTCGAGTTTGCGTCTGAAGTGTTCCTTTGCATTATTGTGTGCGACATCTGAAGGTAACTTTCTCGTAATGTATTTTTTTGGATATTGATAAGGTTCTATGGCAGCGCTTGCTAAATGGTAAGGAAATTTGTCATATTAGCAATATCTGGTGACAGGTTTCATCCGGTTCAGATCAATCTCATGTGATAACTTGAATTTAATTGACATTCTGAATAACCAGAGTGATCAGTTAAAAGGCTTTTTTATCCGTTCAATAACTAAATTTTCAGAAAACAAATAAGGGATAAATTTTGCACATTAGTTGAAAAGTTATATTTATTAAGGTTACGAATCACAAGTTGCTTTGTTTTTCCAAACACGCATGTGTTTATTATGTCGGCAAAGAGGTGAGCAAACAATGTGATGATTCTTTCACTTACTGTAGTTGTCAAATCTCCCATATTAGGAAGTTGGAATGTACCGATAATCAAATTCGACTTTGCTTATTGTCAATCCAGTGTTATTAGCAGTTGCATGTTTGTGCTATATTCTAAAGTATTTCCTGCTCACAGCGCAAGTTCTACTGTTTTTTACTTTGACGTATTTTCGACGTTTTTATTGGAAGTAGATTTCGTCTTGCCGTTTCTTTCATTTTTCTTAAATCGTGTGTTTAAAATTGGTGGTAATATGTGCTTTAAATTGGAATTACTCTTGTTTGGATACAGTTTATAACTCATTTAACGTTTATAGTCCAAGTGGAAGAGATAATGGAACTGTAGAATACTCGATTCACTTGCCGCATTTTCTGAAGCAGCTCTTTTTAGGATTTGTTTATTCTTTAAAACTATTTTTGCTAAGATGTGCATGGGTATTTTATTTCTCTTAAATTAGGTGTTCACATAAACAGGAAATTTTCGTCATTCTACTGCGTTCCTGTTCAAATGACCCCCGACGTGTATACACATTCTTATCGTTTTGTACATTACACACTAACAATGCATTTGAATCAAAAATCTAAGCAGATCTGCTTTCACTTGTTTACTTCTTTCTGGATTCCTATTTCTTACTTCAGTTTTTGCTGCACTTCCTTCCTTCAACAAATCTATTACATGGTGGTGCTCTTAGATATGCGTAATTTTGAGAAAAACTGAAATGTAGTGTTCACATTTCTCCAACTGTATGCATTTTTCATTTTTCATATTCGTCATGCTTTCTCTTGAGTATATGGAATGGATGACTATGTCATGGTTTCATCTTTTAAAAAGTTTTATTGGAGAGAAAGGAAGCAGGAAAATGACGGTTGAAAGGGACGGGGCTATGGATCGATTTGAAGAAATGTATCGAGGACGTTGCCCGTTTGTAGCTCCTTCCCTTCGACCTTTTCGTATTCTTTGTGAAGGATTGACGTATCGTTGCTCTCACGTTCTATTTAGGATGTTCATTTTAATTGACCATATTTTATCCTTTATCGCTCATCGATTTCTCTCCACTTTTAACGGTGAAAATAAAATCCAAAAACAAATCAGTCAGGAAGGATTTGTTTAGTTGACTTTCTGATCCCTAATGCATTTTTAATGCAACTTAAACGTATAGTTTCATATAGTGAATTCACACTGGCAGTTTATTTCAATAAAGAAAATCGAGTAGAATCTATTTGCCTGTGCGTAATGTTTCCATAACTGTGTATTTCTTTTTTAGTCAGTTTCCTGAATTTTATTGCTTCGCAGTTTTTACGTTTCCGAAATGTTTCGTATGTTCTTCGTATAAATGAGTTATATATTTTCATTTAATAATTTTTTAAGTAAAATTAGATTGACATCCATGGATGATATACATAATACTTTTCTATAGTTAGTAGTTGGTCGCATGTTTCATGTTGAACTAAAGGAAAAATGCACTTAGTATCGTATGCCACGCTTTTTCTGTGTGCTGCTGCCATAGTTGCTTTTGCATATTTGTGAATTTTATCATCTATAGATGGGAAATTTAATGAAGCGATTAGGTTGGATTAGGATATAATTTATTGCTATGCTGTGTGATTTTGTTAGAAGTTTCATTGTGACGTGAAGGTATTATTTGTAGGTATCACCAAAGGTGAAAACTTATCATACTGTCATGGATTGATATGGCAGTTTAGATTAATTTCTCTTTTTACTGTTTCCTGCTGAATATGCTCTTTATTATCTTAAGTAATTTGTTTGATATTAGATTGTTAAGAGTTACATACAAATATTTGATATTCACTAAAAGTATACTCTGTTTGTAGGCACCTTGGATGTTTCCCCTGGAAAAACCCTCCCAAGGCGTCGAAGTCTCGAAATAACAGTTTTAATTGTATCAACTAAAACTGTTATTTCGATATTATCTGCTGATAAATTTATAGAATCTTGATCCGGATGATTACGAGTGCTTTTCTGTGTAATATTAATTATATACAGATTAATTATTTTCAGTGTCATTGGGTATACCTCTCGTGAAAGCGCAACAAAAGCACTTGAGAAAATGAGCGGCAAAGAAGTGGATGGACAAACTGTGCAGGTGTGTGACATTGTTCATTATCACTGTGCGTTCCGATGCTTGCAATGCATTTTTATTTATTCTGCAACTGCATCTGAATTGCATTTGTCTGCACGTACTAAAGGGTACGGACACGTACGTATATGTCCAGAATCCAGTCAACCTTATGTTTGGCCATCTTCCAGGTTGCTGCTGTCGAAGAAAAGCAGGCAGGAGCGGGGGGAAAGCATTCGGAAACCACGAAAGAAACTGAACGAAGCCCATCTGAGGAGAGAAGGTTTGTATAATGAGAAATTGTCGTTAGTTTTGAATTTTTGTTACATTTATATATATTTTTTTTTTCAGTCTTAAATTCTAAGTCAGTAGTAGATCCATATTACTAGTTATGGATTCTAATATCCATCAGCTATGTATGGACTGAGTTTTAGTTTCTGTATGCCTAATAAATTTTCGATTACCATTTTTGGTAACTTTGGGAATCCTTCGTGTTGTGTGTGTGTGTTTTTTCTATCATCTAATTTTCTTCGTTTCCGGTTACAACAAAATGAATTTGTAGTGTAATATCATTTTGTATAAGCTTTCTTCAGTTCATGGCAGTTATAGGTGGATATTACTGAAGTTGACGTACACTAGGGTCATCATATTTTAGAATTATTATGCTGTTGGGGTATTTCTGCATCCCAGTTATTTCTTAAGAAAAAAAAAAAAAAGATTTCTTGATAGTTTGTAATGGTTTGGTGATAATCAGGTAAGCTTAGCTGTGTTATAGCTGCGCTCTCTAGGTAGACAAAATTTTCGGTTCAGAATATGTTGATCTCGATGATTTGTAGTCGATCGCGTACCAACTCGGGCTCATCAGCGGCATCGGGTGACGAAGAGAAGAAAAATGGCAGTGTCGACGGTAACGAACATTCAGGTGTAGCAGCAGCTGTAACTGATAGCCACAAGAAAGCAAAGAATGGCGAGGAACATACTGGAAACGCGGTTACTGCCAATAACACAAGAAATGTTCCTTTTCTTTTAAATATTTCAAAAGTTTTTTGTGCTCAAAAGAAGAAAGATATTTGTTACGAATTTCAACTAACTTTTAGCTTTTTCTACTCTTCAATTTTTTATTTGGTTCTTAAATCTTATTTAATATAAAGGGATGTCGATTGGCGGGAAAATATAAGCGTTGTGATTTCTTTCGGGTTTTTTGTTTTTGTTTCGTTTTATTTTTTCATTTTTTGAAAACATTGAAGACATTTGCTTACTAAGCATTTGTTCAACTTCTCTTTAATTTCTCAGTAAAAGTTATATTTAAAAGGAAGAGCCATTTATTCGATGGACAAATGTTTTATTCTGTCAGTTGATTATCTTTTAATTTGAATTGGAATTTTAGAATCGTAAGCGCACATCTGGTGCAAATGATGACGGTGAAAAGAATGGTGACGATTCGGAGACCAGTAACGATGCTGTCACACCGGAACTGAAGAAAAAAAAGAGTGACACAGAGGAGGTTGGGGTTTTTGCTTCTTGCAGTTAAGTGAAGCTCATGAATATACATAACATATTTATGTTGAATAGAAATGAACGAAGTAGGTGTTTATTATAAGCATTCATTTCCTTTTTTAGTATGTTATGTTGTCCTTTTTAGATTAGATGGAATTTTTTAAATCTTGCAGTAGGTAATCATAGAGGTGATTTTTTCTGCTAGCAACACAATAATGGGAATTGCTTTGGAAAGTAGTGTGTTTTTTTCAATGTTTATCTACATTTCTTCTCTTCAGGTTTTAAATATAGTTTAACATAGGCCAAAATTTTTGAATGGTCTTTTTCTCTTTTTGTTCAAAAAATTCACTGAATTATAGTTCTTTTTTTACTATTGTTTTCAATGGTTTTAAGGTCAAAATTCTCTTTTTGTATCTTTAGACTGAAACTACAGAAGTCGACTCTACTGCAACAGTTGGTGCTGAATGAGCTGTTTCTTGCATTGATTTGGTTGATCGATTTAAGAGAAAAAGGAGAAGATGGAGCAAAGTTTTTTAATTGTAATCTCTTTTGTTGTTACACGCACCTCAAATGCTAATTTTCATATTCACTGAATTTTCTGAATTCCGTTTACACCTGCTGCACTTGGTTTAATTTATTAGATGCAATGTCTTGGCTAAAAATAATATTCAACGGTATTTCGTTTTCACCTACAATGAATTCTCATAATGACGATATTTTTTGTTTAATCCCACTATTCCATAATATAACAATCTATATTCATTGTTTACTCATGAAATCCCTATGCCTATTCAATCTACGTTTTCGCGGGCGTGATTTTTTTTTATTTCATACATCGTTTTCTTGTATACCTAAAAGTGCGTGGTTTGTTCTGTAGTTCTTAAGTTCATGGTGTAATGTTCATTTTTTTCTTTAAACTTAGTGTTGTCCTAATGTAATTGTTGTAGTAGGAAGCCAAGTCATTGTTGTTGCTGTTTTTTATAACTAATTTGAAATTTAATTTCAATTATGGATTTCTCTTATTTTTATCACCATTTGGGATAACTTGCAATTGGTTAATTTTTCTCATCTTTCCAGATTTTAAAGAATTGAGATTTCTAGTTATGCAAGAATCAGTTTAGCTTTTTGTTTTAAACTGTATTTGTCAGTTTTCTAGACTTGGAATTTAAAATTTTGAGATTTAAATTATGTTACTCTGTGCATCGTCTTTAAATAAATGAATGTCCACCGTTACCTATATTTTGATATCGTTACTGGCAAACTTATTATTTTTCCGTTATGGAAAAAATAGGATGTGATAGAAAAGGGCAACTTTGAGGAAGGCGAAAAGCAAGGGTTGCTATTTCAAAAAGAAAAAAAAATATCGAGAGATGTCTGGTATATAGACTCAGTGACAACAAGTACATTGCAACAATGTTGTTACTTAGCTGCCTTGATCTCATTGGCTCTAATTTTCCATCGTTTGAGTGCGTTACTGCAAGTCATAATCGGTCGTTGTTCGTGATCGATGTTGTCTTGAATTTGTTACTTTAAATTCATGTCAACTTCACACTTTTCCTTAAAAAGACTTCCATTAGACTTTTTTCTTTTGACTCAAAAAGTGGATGAAATAAGTGAAATGAATCTTTTCTTTGTGTAACGCAGTTATACTCCAATAAAACGGTGGGATTTCAAAATTGTTCTGAAATCATTAAGCATATTTCAGGTTGAAAGCATTACTGAATAGGTATACCATCATCATAATGAAATGATATAGCTTCTTTTCATCTTTTTTCGTTTTTATTTTCACTTTGATCAAAGTTTTGGAAAAAAGAACTTTCAAAAAGTCAATATAATTTCAATTTATTTTCCTTCCTCTTCCATCCGTTTCTCATTTATCTACCAAATATCCATTCTTCTCAACATTTAATAATTATTCATCAGCCAATATATATCTCATAGCACTTCATTTATCCAACATTTCACTACTAATACATTGTAATTGAAATTATGAGTGGTAAATATGCATAAAATATTTATGATTAATGAGAAAAACATTAGCTATTAGAGAAATATTTTAATAATTTCTTGTTCTTATTTTCGTTTTAAATGGCTTCTTTTATTTTCAACAAAATTCTGACAAATTTGATTAACCATTTTATATTAATTGACTTGTTAACATTCAATTCAGATTTTATAAATGGCATAAAATATCGTTGTTTATTTGTCGATGAAAAAATGCGGAAATATCAAAAAGCTAAAAAGTGACTGCATGCAAATTATTTGTACATAATTGTACTCGATGAGTTATTGAATTTAAAATTTAAGCGATTTGAAATGAAGAGGCTTTCTTGTTTTTTCAGAGGAAAAAGTTTATGGCGAAAGTTGTAATGTAAATGGAATATTACATAAATTTAAATATCAGAATTTGAAATTCGTAGATCAAAGTTCACATGCATAGATGAGAATAATCCAAACAAGTAAGAAAGATTTTTATGATTAGATGAATTGAATCTTTATAATTTGCTACGTTTTTTAGTTTTGATATATGAAAAAATCAATAAGCATATGGGGGGGGGGGGGGGGGGGGGGGGGGTTAAGAATGTTGACAATTGATGCCACTTGAGTCATTCATTCATTATTAAACATTGAAATATAAGTGTCACAGCTATAATGACAATCTTTTAGGCTCATAGATTTATTAATATCAGATAGATAATCCAGATCTGATGATGAATGTAGTAATAATTAATTTGATTTAAAACCAGAATTCCTCGGTTTTTTTTTCACCTAAAAGATAAATAAAAGCAAATTAGCGCAATTGCTTTTTCTTTAGAATTTTAATCTACCTTTAAAAAAAAAAAATTTAAACAAACAGATGTTGAAAAATATAGATTATCAGCAGTATATATATATATAATTCATAAACAATTTTTATTTTTATTAATAAACAATATGCAGTAATTTCAGTGAATTTTCAATACGATACTTTTCCATTGGTACTGAGAAATTCGATCACAAAGAAAAAAAAAAATAAGAAAAATAGGAAAGAAAGTGTTGTAATTAAAGAAGATAATTCAAAAATTCTTTCAATAATTTGAAAAGGCACTTCATTTCTTTCATTATAAATGGTCTTTCAAGAAGTATGAAAGATTTTTAGAATACTCAAAATAGATATGCATAAAGCAAATTTCAATCCTATTGAGTGCTTCTTACTGTATGTAACAAAATATATATATATATATAATATGAAAGTTTTCATATTTTGTCATTAGCTTATGATAAATTAATTACATTATTTATTGTATGAATTGCTGCTATACAAGAATAATAGACTTTTCGAATTATTGAAAATTTCAAAGTAAAATAAGTTTTAGCTCACAGAATTCTTTTAGACTTACCGAAGAACTAAATTTATCAGTGCTAAAAATCCAACTAGATGACATGTCATTTTCCGTTTGCTATTATTAAGAATGAAGTTGACAATCTTCTTTGTTAATCTTGATAAAATCTCGATAAAAATTTTGTTGATCATTTAAGATAAGACTGAAACATTAATCACTTTGTTCTATGACGATACAGTATCGTTTCGATTAATCAACACAATCATTAAATGTGCCACAAAATCAACCACTAATATGTTTAGCTTACAGTTAACCATTTCATTTGTATTACAGTATACCGAAATTGATTCATCGATCATTGAAATATAATTTCAAGTAGTCACTGATTGCATACAGTGATAAGCGAAGAGAAGAGAGTAATACGAATGATAATGATATGATAAACATTGCAATGACATAAAAAATAGGCAAACAATAAATAATTTAAAAAATATTGCAGAACCTTTTATTTTAAAAGTTAATTGAAATTTTCAACGTATCATTACATCTATTATCTATTCTTATGTACTAATCTTATACCTTAAAATAATGCTTGGTAATTAATTATTAGATGGAAATAATGTGAAAATTAGCAATGATAGGATAGGAAATATGAAATGTTCAGAAAATATTTTAAATTGACAATTATAACAAAGTGTAATTTATATAGCAAAATGTAATTTATTGAATTTTAAAAATTTCAATATTTGCTATCAAATTGACTGAATGAATGCAACTAACATATCGATTGTTACTTAAATGTTAAACAATATGGTTGAAAATATGTCTTTGATAATATGTTTACGATGAAAATCATTTCAAAAGTGTTTCAAACAATTTAGATGGATGAAAAAATTTTCTCTTTTACAAGTTAAAAATAATCAAAAGATATTTTCAACTGTATCACTTAATTTGATTCGTTAAATGCATTTAAACAATCGTTGAAAATGTTAGTTATTTTATCAAATTGATTGAAAATTTTAAAATTCAATAAATTGATTGAAATTAGGATTATCCATCAACAGAGATCGATCTTTTAAGATGGGGGAAAAAAAAACATGTTTTTTTTTTCCCCCATTTTGAATAAACAAATTGATTGATTCTTTAAAATCAATAATTATCTTAAATGGTGACAAACTAGACTCTCACTTAAAAAAATTAGTAAGTGTATTCAGAAAAGCAAACCAGGATGACACCAAATGGCAGAATATTGATATTTTGAGGAAAGTTGAAATGTGAAAAGGAAATGAATGCAATTCAGTTGTAATCAGATAAATAAACCAAATTTGATTGTTCGGAGGGTGAGTCATTTCTGCTGATTTTTTGCATTCAAATTCATCAAATTTAAAGTCGAAAGAAGAAAAAAAAATCCTAAATTTCTTCAATCCTAAAATTTATGCTCCAAGAAAGATCACCTGGAAATCTTAAATGTTCAAATGCGCTCTTTATTTGTCATTTTTTTTTTCATTTAAATAAATTGATATCTATCATAACAGTTTATGTTCTTAGTTTTAGATCTTCTGAAAAACTTCTATTTGGTATTAAAATTAAAATCAATTTGGTAAATGTAAAATGTAAATACAGGTAGAAGTTACTAGTAAAAGTAAATTGCTTACATAATTTTTCCACTCTGATAAATATTATGACAATCAGTAAATGCTTTTCAGTGATAAATAATTTAAAAATATGCTGTATAAATAAATTGCAAATAGCTAATACACGTAATGAAATTACGCTTAATTTCAAAAATCTAAACTTTTGGGAAGGATTTACCTGTGAAATTAGAATTCATTAATCACTAGCAAAATAATTTAACGATTAATGACAAAAGATTATTTTTGATTTATCGATTGCTAAAGAAAGAATAAACAGATAGTTGCAATTTTATTAATTTAAATGCTAATTTAGTAAAATTGAACTGACTTTATTTAATATAAGTGATTATGAGATTTCAACAATGAAATTTTTCCTGCAACTTTCTCCGATAATACTTCATGGAAGGAAGCTCCGATAGTAATATTAAAATATTTATCAATCTTTGATTAAATTTTTAGAAATTATTTAACAACTAGCATTATTATACGTTAATAAATGACAAATGTATTCATTGGAAAGTAAAACTACAATGAATTAATATGTTATGAGGTGATAACAATGAAATGAGTGATAACATATCCAAACAATTACAATAATTTTTAAATGCTTAATAGAATTGCTAATAATTGCTCAGATATTATTTACAATATTTTTCAATTTTTTTTCCAATAATATTTTTTCAATGAATGTTACTATCACTGAAACAATAATATTTATTGTAAACACAATTTGTCACTTCAACCTTTATTTGTTTACAAAGCATTTGTACTTCATTTAAACAAACAATGTCAAATTGATTAACTTTCTAAATCATGACAATAATATGATTCATCCAATTTTATTACTAATTTATGCCAAAATATGAATCGCATAAAGTAACTCTTCATAGCAAATATATTTAAGTAAAATAGTTAATTATCAACTAGATATGGATCAGATAGGGTAGCTTATTTGTTTAAGAAATAGTTTTTTAACCATTTAAAAAATAAAGGATTATTGTTTTATATTGAAAGTTTAAATAACATAATACATTTAAACGAAAGAAAAATTGAGAAAAAAGAAAGTTTAAGAAAAAGGAATGAATTTTGCTTAACAAATAAGCGGAACTTATTGTTAGAGTTCAAAGTCGATAAGTAAAAAAGCTTATTTGCCTAGCAGAAAAAATTTAAAATTGTATCACTAATTAGGGAATATTTGCAACATATTACTTTTTATGCATTTATTACATTCATTCTGCAAGTTATAATTGCAATCTTTTTTTTTGTATAAGCAATTAGCATAATATCCTTATCACATAATATTAGCAATGTGAGCAATTGCGGTATTTGCAACTTTAATTATTTTTATTCCAGAAAAATAATATAATAATAAGGTTAGCAGAATATAAAAAATAGTTGTTGAATTTCATTTGTAAGCGGAAATGTCGAATTAAGCTATTCATTTAATTTCTGCTAATTTTTTTTTTTTTTGCATTCCAATTATTTTTTCGTCATTATGTGGAGGTTGTTTTCATTTTCTTTCAAACAAAATAAAATATATTAAAAAATTAGTATTTGATATTAATAGTAAATTTGATATTTGATAATAAGTAACAGTAATACTAGTAGAAATAGTAGTTCTATTCCAATTTAATTAAGTAATTTTCATCAATAGAACGGAAAATAAACTTCAAAAACTAATCCATAATAAACTTTGATAATTTATATAGAAAAGATGAATTTACTACAATTGAGAATAAATCAATATTTCATGAACAACTGTTCTCCAATCCAACCCTATCTATTAGCAATTCTTAGTGTTATTATTATTTCGTTTAAATTTCACATTTTTCAAATATTTTCTCATCATTTGAACAAATATGCGTCTTCTTGGCTTCATTATTTTTATTCTTTTAATGGTAATATCAATTGCTGAAATTCTGGTATGCTTTATAAATTAAATTTCAATAAATCGAAAAAAATGAAAACATTTGAGAAATTTCATATTTCACATATAATTTATGCCTAACTTGTATGCAATCATATTGGAATATATAATTTTTAAACACTAAAATTCATTCATTTTATTAAGAATGATTAAATACTATTGTTTAATTGATAATATTATCAGTGCTTCATTTAATGATACATACATATTATCAGATGTCATACATATATATAAATCTACTTTCTCTCTTAATTGATAAAAGCAATTGTTAGTTATCAGTGATTAAAATGTTGAAAATGTAGATGAAAAATATGCCTATTAATTATTCATTTGTTATGTATTTGCTAATTTAATTAACATAAAATTTTATTTTATAAATTTTTTTTTTTTAAATTTACTTTGTTAATAATGCAAATTTCAGCTTAATATCCATTATTTCATATTTTACTGAAATTTAATTTATAGATCCAAACAAAAGTTATTTTTAATTAATTGACTAAATCTTTTTCCGTTCCGTTTCGTTCCTTTCACTTTTTTTTTTTTTTTTTTTCTTTTGAAGAAATGCAACGATATAACAACACGAAGAGCAATTGAGAAACGCGGACGACAAATTAATTTAAAATGTCTTGAAAATAAGGAGCAGTTGGAGAAGTGTAAAAACCATACAGCTGTCGATATTGCCTGGAAGAATTTTGAACAAATTAATGAAAATTACTTTACGGTTAGTGTAGAAAATTTCATTAGAATTGAACTAATTTGAAAAATTTTTCCTTTCATTTCTCTTCAAATTTAAAAAAAATAATTGAACATATTAAAATGTAAACTTTATCTTATTTTTATCTAAAGGCATTGGATTCTTGTAAGGAAGGAAGACGTAAAAAGCGACAATGCGCATGTAGCAGCAGTTCATCAAACATACATCATGATGATCCTAACTTAAATCATGATTTTAAATATTCTAAGAAATTAGAAAATCGAGTAAGACGAAATGTACATGGTAGTAGTGATAATAAACATGATCAGGTAAAATTAATCATGTATTTTATGAGATTTATGTTAATTAAATCACTTTGCAAACAACAAATTTAGGAATGATACCTTTCAAAAAGTTTATATTTCTGAAATTGTTTACTTCGTTCTTTTTTTTTTTTTTTTTTCTTCATTTTTAGGAAGTTGACAATGATTACTCCAAGGATTTCATGCGATTTAAAAGAAATGATTGTTTGAAAGATAGTAGACGAGAAAAAACTCGTTTGCTTGAAAAATTCGCAAGATCATGTAAACCTGATACCCTGTTAGTTTTAGTTCATTATATTGACAAATTTAAATCTTAATAATACTCTTAGAAATTCAAGAATTGCTTCACATAACAATTATTTATGCAAATTATTTTACAAAGAAGTAAGAAAACATTATACATACACTTATTCTAATTACTTTCTTAATTACTTGTTAGAATTTTCATTTCAATGGCTAACCCAATTTATTATTTGAAATACTATTCACACCATACGTAAGCTAAAAAAATTCAAAAAACTCCCCCTGCTATTATGTTTAAAATTATTAATTCTAACTTATTTTCTATCCTAATATAAAATAGACTTCAAGTATTAAATAGGCTTCTTCACACAGATTAACTGGAAAATATCAATTTCACATAATTTCAAAAATCTACAAAAAGACTCTGGCAATATAAATAAAAAATCCTTAAGTTCTTGAAAAATTTTTCCTCTTATTCCTAATTTTTTGAAATATATATATATATTTGTTCTTTCGAAACAAGTAACAATGATTAAAAATCAACAGTTTAACTTTTGATATATTTTACGAAGTGACATTTACTAATTATCAATTTGCTTAATTTACAATAACAAATGAGCTTACCTTCTTTTCAGATACGATCGAGATAAGATAAGTAAGACCTGCAAAGATAATTTGAGCAAATTATCGAAAGAAAGACACAAAGCTTATAGCAATTATGTGACATCTTTCCGAGTTTGCTATGGTTCTATCAATTAAAGTTATTTATCACATGCAAATAATATCTATTTTAACTAATATAATTTCGTTGCCTCTAAATAGCTAATTGCAAATGAATTTTATTTCAAAATGTATTATGGATCATTATCTTCTCTTCATTTTATAATTCATTAAAGTTGAACATGTCTAACATCAATAACTATTCGCAGAATGTCAGGTGTAAAGCTCTGGCAATATCAAATACTATGTAGAAAAATACAATGAAATTTTCATGCATTTTTTTCGTGATATGATTAAGAAAACTGTTCTTTTATTAACTCAATTTATTACTGCTTAGGGAAAACACCTAAGATATAATTGATAACGAATCGAATAAATTCGAAAAATCAAATTAGTTTAGAAAAATCACAAATGATATTGGCAAAAAAAAAAATGCACTGCAAGCATATAATTTAAAGAATAGAAAGTGTAATTTGGATAGCATTCTTCAAATAAAAAAGAAACAGTACAAGAGAAAAGAAGAAAAAATCATTGCAACGGATTAAACTACAACAGATGATTTAATTTAGTCAATGAAAAGAGGTAACACAGAAGAAATAACTAATATACATAGTAAAATTTGTGACATAAAGTAGCTACTCCTACGTTATTCTCATAAAATCGAGAAAATATGAAAATAAAAATGATAACAGTTGTTTATGATAACAAATCATTTGAAAAATGATCAAAGTAAGCAATATCATATTGACATGACTAGTTAAATTACATAATCAATATGGATAAAAAAGCACAAAACTAGATTGACAGTGTAAATGTGTATGGAACTTAAAAATTTTGCTTTAATTTTGAACCTCTTCCTATACCGAAGCAATAAAGCATAGCAATGCAGATAAATATTTGATGTTAATTAATAATAAATTATAATTAATAATTTTTGTAGAAATTAATAATTTAAGTATAAATTAATAAATTATAGATGAAAAGCTGAAACTAATAATTTTAAACATCTAACATAAGTAATTTCTGACCAATAGAAGAAGTAATTGGAAAAGGAGAGAATTTAATGAAAACAGAATATGAGTGAAGAGAATAGAGAGAAAATGCGAAAGCAGATGTACATTATGCATATATAAACTTCACCGCCTTTTTTCATTGCCACCGTTTTTATTTCGAGAAATACTTAAAATGAATCAAGAAATACGCTTTTCGCCTACTCTTTCCAAAACAATAGCAACACGGCATGGAACATATACGCAAAGATGATTTCGTCGACCAGCATAACCTTCCGGGAAAGTAAAATAATGCTGATTTTTATCCAATCGATTAAAACCACCAAATTCAGAGTCATCAGTACTCAATGCCAGTGCATATCTTAAAATATTTTTCACCTATCTGACACTGTCACATATTATTTATATTAATTTCAATTTTTTGAATCGAAAAAGTTCTTAAAATTAAATTGCTGTTTGAGAAGTTAGTAAAACTTTCATTATGACCATATTTCTACTTCTATTTCTTCAATTTCACAGTAGCCAAATTCAAAACGCTTCTATTGATAGCTCGAGTAAGCTCCCTTCCTTTCCAATTTTTCTTCCAACCATACACATGGACAATTAAAAAAACTGAAGAAATGCAACAGTATATATTATAAAAACTTACTCTCCTGCCACTTCGATACCAATTTTGTAATCCGAGAAACTCTTGTACGTATGGAAATTGAAAATAAAAAGAAGGCCAGCACGTTCGAATGCTATAACTTTATCATCCTGATGCTTCCACGAAGTATATGCCTATAAAATTATATACCATAGTTTCATTAAAAATGATTATTCATTTACAATGCAACTGAATTCAATGAATCAATTGTTCTTTATAGAATTTCCCTATGATTATTAAAGAATTTATTTATACCGGCCCACGTGATAAGAAATGATGTTTCTGTTCCAATTGGTTCATAGCACGATCAAAATTATTCAAGTATTTGTATCGAAGAAGCTCATCATCTACTAAATTCCATTGCCTACGGCAGTAATAAAATGACTCGTTGTTACCCAAACGTGGAAAATCAAGCCATTCTGGGTGACCGAATTCGTTACCTGAAAAGGAGAAACTAGATGAGATAAAGTTGTGAAGTGAAAATTTAAAACCAATAATAACTATGCAATGTTATAGTGATTGAGCTTGTCTCAGTTCTTACAGAATTTATTTATGGAAGACTGTATAGGATTATCACTAAATTTCATGACAACTTTCATCTATCACATACTTTTTGGGAATTACTATAAAATTTCATCTAGTTTTTGCTGAGAAAAAATAAGGATGAAAGAATTTCTGCTCGGAAATTAAACGAATGAATTAAATAAGACAGTTCTTAATGGTTGACATTAGATAACAGATGATAAGAATGATCAGATAACAGGATCAAATTAAAAAGATAACAAGCATGTGTAGTACTTACAAAAATTTATCTTTTAGAAGAAATTTTTTGCCACAATTAACTTATTATTATCAAATTTGTTCTAAAAAATTTTTGTCACTGAGATTTTTTTCCAAACAAAAAAATATTGACAAATGTCCCAATTTCTTTACAAATAATTCATTTGAGAATTTCAGAGTTTCAAATGTTTTCAAGAAAAAAACCGACAAAGCAGCTAAAAAAGGACCAAATGTTTAATTCATCCTATTTTTTCTTCCTGCTGAAGTAACTTTCTATCAGTTAATTTGTTACTACAACAGTCATTAGATGTTTAAAGCGTTGTTTAATAGGAAGAAATGGCTAAGGGATGTTAAACAGTAAACATTAAATATATAAGGTTGACATATAGACCACTTATACACACAAACAACTGTTTTTACAACCAGGCATTGTTGGTGCCGGTGAAAAGAGAAGCATAATTAGGGATTTAAATCCATCAAATAAGTATTAAATTTTAGAAAAGCACAATTTTTTTTTTTTTTTTTTTTTTTTTTTAGAAAAGAAACTTTACCAATGAAATTCAACCATGCTTCGCCACCTAATCCATATGTGATAAGACGAATCATTTTATGCAGTGCTATACCACGCTCAATTATAGGAGTTAATGGTGATGTATCAGACATGAAATCGTACATTTCTGAAAATTCGCTCCCTGATGACTATTAAAAATTATTTTTTCCCCTCCTTCCAATTATAAGTTGGATTTTTTTTCTTTTTGAATATATCTTATTAAGAAATCATTCGAAATGTAACATTTATTGAAGAGGAAATAATTAACAGAGTTAACCTTTATCCATCAACCAAAATGCAATCGTCTTATCACCAACAAGAGCCTGATCGTGTGATTCAGCATATGCAATATGCTTCTCAGCGTATCTGAAATTGGTTAGCAACTCTAGAGATGTTGTCAAGTAACAAAGAAATGTTGCAATAACAAGGAGTAATAACAAACAAAGAAAACCTTGAATCTTGTCATCACCTTCTATTTTCCAGCGTAAATACCAAATTAGAAATATCCCAGTCTTCATCAGAGAAATGTTTGAGAAGTTTAATCCACAAATCCGGTGCTGCCATCGCTAAGCGATAATCGAAACCTTGTCCACCTTCTTCAACTGGTCGACATAAGGCTGGCATGCCACTTACTTCCTGAAACGGAAAAATTATTAAAACCTGAATGCACCGTTCATACATTGCAAACAACAATTATTCGCATTGTAAGGGAAGAATGTAAATAGTAAAGGATGTGAATTTTTTCCATTTTTGAATTCCAAGGGAATCTGATTTTAAAAGAATGAAAGAAATGAGGGAGAAGATCCTTATTTAAATCGAAGATTTAGCGCTATACACTAGATATATAATCCTGAAAAATAGACCAAAATAATTCTAGCAAACTGTTTATTAACTGCACAAAAAACGTAAAATATTGGTTTTATTATAGCACCAACGACCATATCAGTTAAGATTTGAAGTTTAAAAATTGATCTATGTTTATGTGTATATGTCTGCATGCAGTGATGATAAAAATTGAACTAACTTCAGCAATTGTCACGACATTGGGAAATTTACGGTGCAAAAATGAATTCGCAAGCATTAAATAAACAAGTGAGTCAGTATCAACATTCAGACCGAAATACATATCGTAACCGCCATCTAATGCATCGGCTGAAATAAGAACCTTTTTTTCTAAATTATTAATGAAATCTGATAATTTTAGCGATTATTTGATCTAAATTAAAAATTCGAAAAATAAAATAACTGAAGCTAAAAACACAGAAAATTTAAACGGTCGATAAAAAATATAAAACGTTGTTGGAGTGAACTTTCTTTTTCTTGATCGGAAAAACAAAGTACACTGAAACATGACATTATTTTGTCACCGACTAAAAATGAAATTCGAAACAGCGGTGGAAACAGTCATTGAATCCCTCTAGTATATCTGAAGAACATTTAAAATTTCGCCTCCCTAACTTGTCCGATAATAAACTTTTTGTTCGCAGAATTAATCATAACTGTCTAAAGCTAGTTACAAATTGCTAACAAAACTTTCTTACAGATATATAATGGTTCACTGCTGGAAACAACAATAACACCAATTATACAGTTATTCACCAAAATTATATACCGAAAACACGGTTTAACGTTTTTCAGGAAATCTCTCTCACAACACAAGAAACTACTCCATATTAGCGTGCTATACGATTAAAATTAGAATAAGCCTGATGTGAGCCATTCTTACCCCATACATATGGTTGTATTCGAGATACTAAAGTATACTTCGTATCAAGCAAAATTTTGGGATGGAACATATAAAAAGAGCATTTCCGGTCACTAGAACTCATAAATTAACCTCTCGTTTTTCATAAAATTAATAAGTTATTTCAGTTTATCATTTACCAATTCCATGAGAATGGTATAACATCGATGTTACACCATCAAATCGGAATCCATCAAAGCCGTATTCTTCAATCCACCATCGAAGATTGGAAAGTAGGAAACGAAGAGTTTCAATCCTGAAATAACTTTTCAATTAAAAAAAAAAAAAATCAGAATGTCCTCTAGTGATATTGTTATTAGTGCTTTTATTAACAATCTTCAATTCGATTAATAAAATTCCAATTAAGGAGAGATTTTGACAAAGACTTCAAGAACTTTCTGTGTGTAATCGAAAAGTCGTGAATCCCAAAGGCTATGATATCCACGATTATTGTCATGAAAATAACTATTCTGAGTACCATCCCATTCATTCAATCCATCTTCTACATTCTTTGAAGCATGCGAATGTACCACATCAAGTAAGATTAGAATACCCGCTTCGTGTGCTTTATCCACAAGATATTTCAGGTCTTCTGGCGTTCCGCAACGGCTACAAAACATTGCTCATTAAAGTTTTCGAATTTTTTTGAAGACAAATTTGTAATTCACAATATTAGTAAGCTTAGTTAGAATAATCACCACTTCTTCTCTTCTGTTCTCTATATCTCACTTAAAATATAAGCTCCTAAAAGGGTAATTTAAAAAAGAAACCTTGATGGTGCGAAGAAACTAGTGACTTGATAGCCGAAACTAGCATAGTAAACGTGTTCCATAATAGCCATTAGCTGAATAGTATTATAACCTGAAACATATTACTTGCTATCCGCAATTGAAAAATATCCTTTGAAAGGGAAAAGAAAGTACCTTGTTTCTTGATTCTCGGGATAACATCATTTGCAAAATTCTTGTAGGTATTGACTTTTCCTTCCGAACTAGATATTCCAACATGCGCTTCATAAATCCGTAATGATTCAGGTTTTGATGGTCTTGGATGTTTAAAACGATAACACTCCGATTCAGGTGGGTTATAGAAGGGCTATAAAATGAGGGAACATTTCATTTGATCCTTTGAAAATAGCAAAAATGAGGGAACATTTTTTCAAATATTCATTTGATCCTTTGAAAATAGCAAAAAAAGACAAACTAGGAAGTAAGAAGTAACTTTTTAAGCTTCATGAGAATTTTTTGCTTTTTGCTCTCAAACTTTTTTGAACTTTATTTTCACACTTTCAATTTATCTTTTGCTTTAAACAAAATGAGGAAAAAACAAGGAAATCGATAGTTTACCATGTGATAAACTGTTGTTTCTTTCGGCCGTGTAACATAGTGTGCCCAAGGAGACAGTTTAAAATGAAATACGCCATTTTTTTTTACTGCGACCTAAAAATAGCAAAAAATAGTATCATTTATATTATAACTATTTAAGTCATGCATCATTCATTCATACAATTTTGAAATTGGAAATATTATCAAAAAAATTGCCTATTTCACCAATATAATTGCACTATCAATAATATTGGGAGCATACGATTAATCCTAGCATATCACTCTTAATAACAGAAAAGCACCTTGATAATCGATCCATGTTTAATCGGACAATTACCATCTTTATCAGCTGGAATAATTAATTCCCATTTGCCATATTCTAGTTTCTTGTATGGATGAGATTCAGTGTTCCAATCGTCTGCAGCAAAAAATAATTACATTCATTAAAACTACTCATTCTATTACTTGCATTTCCTTAACTTTATTTTGCTTGGTGCAATTTGCATTTTATTAAAGATGTAGTGAATTTCCAAACTTACTAAAATCTCCCACCAATGATAAAGCTTCTGCTCCTGGTGCCCATTCCAAACAACGAACTGAATTATCCCTCATCACCACAACACCATATTCTCGATAAGCTGTTGTGAATGTTTCCCATCCACCACACTAAATATGAATCGTGATTGACTATCACCAAAATTTAATTCTTGAGAATTAATGTAATGAAAAGAAATATACTCTTCCAACCAACACAATGCTATTTATCAAACGAAAACAGCAAAATATTCTAGGAGATCCAACTTAATAACATACCTTTAAGAATAATGATTACTGATTCAAGATTTTGCTATATGGCATTACAAAATCTTAACCTCTTCAATTCTCTTCGAATAATCAAGGAAAACTCCATATCTGCGACATATTTCAGTCTGATAATTCCATAGGTATCCATCCAACTTCAACAAATTGTCAAGTTGAGGAGGTCTGCTACTGCTGCTACTCATCGATGATTTCCTACAAAATGTTACCTGTTGTTTATATTGTAATAATGAAATTCTATATCATCAAATTTTGATCTCTGAAAGGACACTTTTCATTACGAAATCAAAAGGACAAATCACAGTGCAAAAGAAAAAAAAAAATCATAAATAAGCCTTTCAACCTTAACTAAAAATACCGAAGTAAGAGGAAAGAAAGAAAGAGAAGAAGAAATAACTTAAGCGAAAAGAACTCTAACGAAAGAAATATTTTAAAATATCGATCAATTTATCTAAATGCTGACAATAACAGATTACACTATCTCGAGAAAATTCTCATCACACTACGAGAAATTCTCATTATTTTCATATTACCAATACAATGGCACTATAAACAACCAAAATCAGATAATTTGAAAAGCTTTAAGACTTAAACATTTGTTGAAAAAAGAGAGAAGAGAGGAAGTGTTATGGAAAACTGCTGGGAACTTCATGAAACAATCAGAATGAATTTTAATATTGTAGAATAGCTAACATACACATACATACACACACACACACACATACATACACATACATACATACAACTGTTGATCAATACCACTGATTGATAGCTAAGTAAAAAAAAATACACACACACACACACATACATACACATACATACATACAACTGTTGATCAATACCACTGATTGATAGCTAAGTAAACAAACAGAAAATGAAAAAAAAAAAGAGAGAGAGAGGGGGAGAAAGTAAAAAGGAAGATGAAAGATAGATCCGCTCTAATTCTTAATGGTTTCGCTTGGCAAATAGCAGCATACCGTCATTTGCTAAGGTCGAGAATTAAGTATTGAATATGGTCGAAATGAAGAATTGAAATAGTAAAGTTTAGTATGTCTCATCTTTTTTTTGTTTTGCTTAACCGTTCGAAATTGTTTTAATCCACAATAATGGCAACAATTTATGCTTTATTTACATTTGTTTCATTCAGTATTACAATTACAACCACTAATCTTCGTCCATCGTTCTCACTTTCCCTCTTTCTCTTTCTCCCTCTCTCTCTCTCTCTCTCTCTCTCTCTCCCTCTGGTTGATTCATCAAACTGAGAAGAAAAAGAATTTTTTTTTTTTGAAAAGAATGTAAAATTGCAGAAATGAGACCGAGTGGAATCTCATTCTCAATGATATCAATCTCTTTTCCATTTTGACAATTTAATATCACTGAAAATAATTAGCAATTCAAATTAATTTTGTAAATTCAAATAAATGAAAGAAAACGAAAAAATTAAATTAATTAGAAAAACGTGCAAAAAATGCAACAAGAAAAATATAATTACTAATTACAATATGAATATAAGTATTGAATGATAATAAACACTAATAAACTTAATCACTTTTTCTATCACATTTTGATGCTATTTTGTTATTGTTATTATTATTATTATTATTATTATTATTATTATTATTATTATTATTATTATTATTATTATTATTATTATTATTATTATTATTATTATTATTATTATTACTATTATTATTATTACTATTACTATTATTGCTACTATTATCATTATTATACGGGATTTTTCTCTAATTCTCGCATTGTTGCATATATAATTTTGTCCAACTTTTTTATTGCTATTTTCTAATTGAATTGAAATTTAATTTCTTCAATCTAATCCTTTCCACTTTGTTTATTTGAGTAGCTAAATTTGCTTTGCTTTTATATGAAATTTCAATAATTATTGGAAGACTGTGTGTTGCATTTAATCTGATAAAATCACTCCATAATTTATCGCTGTAGGAAATAGTTAAAGTTTATTAGCATAGCTGTTCAATTCTGAAATAACATTTTCAGCTTTAATAGTTTCAGATCGATAATGATTTATTGGAAGAGTAAGAAAAAAGAGCTATTTTCCAACACTAATTAATCACGAACTTTTCGAACTAACCAATGTCTTGCCTTGCTTCAATAATAGATCGATCTGTTATTTAGATTTACTTCATTTAAAAAAGAAAAAAAACGAACGAAATTTGGAATTGCTTTAAAATAAATGAAAATTTTTCTTCTTTTTAAATAGGTTTTTATATTTGATAGACTTTTGCCTTTTTTTTTTGTTTCAATAAAATGTTTGTAAAGTGTTAACTTGAGGAGTATTAGAAATAGAAAAGAATTTAAAATATTATATTCAGAAGTTAAATTTTAATTTGATATAAATAAGAATTATAATTTCAGCTCAAAGTTTTAAATGTTGTAGAGTAAGAGATGAGTAATGATAATCAAAACATTTTTGTTTATTGTTCAACAATTTTGATTTATAATGAGACTTCTCTCGATAACATCAACAGAAAGCGCTATAAGAATTTGAATTTAACAAACTTTATGCGTTGATATGTCGTTTGTCCTTGCTCTATTTTCATTATTAAACTTTAGTAAAATCTTCCTGTGAAATTTCCATCGATATTTCATATTTTTCCTTCTAAATTAATACTAACATTACTGTTACATAGATGAAATAACTTACAAATTAAACAATGTCGGCTTAGACTACCAATAATAGTTAATTTGAAATTTAAAAAGTGACATTTTCCTAGTTCTGATCATTTGTCATCAATTTTAGAGGTGCTTAAACGTTTGACAATTGGAATTTTGATATTTAATTTAATAATACTTGAACAATGAACCACAGGAAATATTTGCATTTACTACTAGAATATTCGTTTATCAAAATGCAATGATAATGATAAGTAGAGAAGAGTATAATGCTAGTTTCTTAGCTTCAGTTAATTATTAACTAGCTTAACTACTTTGTCGACGCTGTATTATAGCATTAGGGAAATATTAATAATGACTAATACTTTTAAAAGTAATCAACTATGTCTATGAAGTACTTAGGTATTTAAATATATAATCAAATTAGTAGATTGTAAACCATAATTTATTGAGGCATTGTTAATGCTTATTTCCAACCACTGTGACTTTATTTGTTTACTTTGTTTGTTTGTTTTGTGCTTATCAGTTTAATCACAGAATGATTTGATGCATTAATGGTCGAATAAAATGTAAACTTTTTAATTTACGTTCTTTTTTTTTTTTAATCATATCATATTTTCGTTTAGAAATTTCTTTAACATTTCCAAGTTTATTCATTCTATTCTATCGATATGAAAAAATATGTATATATATATACATATACATATGTACATAGCAATTAATGAGAAAAAAAAAAAAATGATGTGAAATAAATACATTAAATTTGCTGGAATTTTTTAAAAGTTCAACCATTTTATTTGTTTGGTTTTCTTAAATTTCCTTTTTTTTTTTCTTTTGTTCCTACAAAACTCTTTGTAATTTTTGCTGACAAAAATCAAACATTTGAATTAAATTTTATAATCGTATACATAATATATAGCAGTGTAAATATTATTAATATGAAAATGAAAATTTCGCAGTTTTCCGAATCTAATTGAATGATTTCACATAAAAGTTGAACAAATTATTTACTGAATAATGTTTACAAATGCTACTACCACGCAATGGTAAACGTTCATTCAGCAAAATGTTTACAAGAATGATACGATTATTTCCAATCATTTTTATCAATCAATTAATTCATTACTGATTCACGATCTCTTGTCTTATTCATTTTGTTAAAAATGACAATCGATATTTTCTCCATCAATCATCCAATCTTTCTTTTTTGTTAATTTCATGTTCAATTTTCTCTGTGTAAAAGTTCAATAAATTAATCGTTCAATTGTACATATCGATTGTCTTTGCATGTCTGTATGTATTGTTCTTAATATATGTATCAGTATCTATGCATCAATCCCTCCATCTATATACTCTCTCTATGTATATTTTTGTTAATTGGTTAAAATAATTTCAAGTTTTTTTTTTTTTTTTTTTCCAGTTTGGATGCATCCTACTCCTACTGTAAATGAATATTTTCATTTTTTTTTCTTTTCTATTGTATTTTATGAGAAGAATGAAAAGAAATATAACTGATAAAACATTTTAAAAGAATTTTAGAATGACATTATGATGGTATTTTTAAGCAAGTGATCACTTTTTCAACTCTTTCTATTTTTCTAGTTTTATTAAATAGTAACAAAGCTTAAAAAGAATTAAATGCCATAGAACTTTCAAGCAAAAACGATAAGGGAGAAAAATCACAAACCAATCACTGTTGTCAACTGGAACAAAATACAATAACTGGAACTGTTTGTGATTAATTTGTTATTAGCCTAAGCAAGATATAATGATCCTATGTACTCGTGCCGCGGCCGTATCTTTCATTTCTTTTTACTTTTTATTGATGTTAACAAGAGAGCTTGGCGGGAGTTGGTGCAAGAATAACCTGTTCTTAATTTGGTGGAGAATTCTTGTTTGAAATCTATCAGCATTATATGTCTCAGTTAATCAATCACGTTTCGCCATGTTTTCCTACGTTACGTGATAATTTTTTTTTTATTATGCGATAATATGTAATACGTGATGCATATTACCTCAAACATGAGTTTATTCATAAATTTATTATTTGAAAGAATATGAAAGGTGTTGAAAGCATCACGATTAAAGATTATGCTTTATTGCTTTTCCCTCTCTCTTTCTTCTCTTTCCATTTTTCTTTTTCCCTATATCTTAATTTGATTTACAATTTAGTTTCTCAGTTTGAATTTAAATTGAAATTTGGATTAAAAGGCTCTTAGTAAAAATTCAGGGATTGAACATTAAGTTATTTTTATAGTTTCATATTCTTTCTCGGAAACATATATTTGATCTCACGCATGTTGAATATTCATTTTACTAATGTGATGATGTTTTAATCATATTCTTTTATTTTGAGAATTTACAATTTGGCATTAAATGATGGTAGGGAGGCAAATTTCGCATGGTTTTATTGATCTAGAGAGATGATCCTTTCCATTACAACAGCAGTGCATATTATGGTAAACTTTTTTCAAATTTTTGTGTAAAAATTCCAGACTTAATATAATTCCAAAATATGAAGTGTAGTAATTAAGATTCAGTTGTCTGAGATTACCCCATATAAGACTTCGTGCTTCATAAACTTTGTAGCAAAAGCCTCTTTATCTTCTTCCGAATAATATATAATTTTGAAGACCGTTGCATGAAGTGTAACGGTCTTCAAAATTAATTGTCCATGTATGGTAAATATATTTTGTGGTTTCCATGAATATCGTAAAATTTTATATTATGCCAGGAAAAAAAAGTGTTTTTTCTTAAATATGGGAATAGAAGAACTGCAGTTACGTAAATTCGTAAGCCATCACATTAACCATCGTTTCTTCACCAGAGAGAACAGTTTATTTTGCTATTCTGTTATCAGCAAAAGTAGTCCCGGTAGTTGAATAAGCAAATATTGAATTATATCCAAAGAAATGTTTATGCAACGGCAGTCTGTGTGATGTTCCTATCAGCTTTTACGCTTAGTATACTGTCTTTGTAAAGCAAAAAATAAAATAAGCAAGCAGTCCATTTGGTAATTGTTTTTATCAAACGAAAAGAAACCACATTTATCATATCACTTATACCAAGTTCTCATAACAAATACAAAGTATTTACTTTTGCACTTCATTATACTTCGTTATATGTTTACAGTTTAATACTAGTATTTCAGATCAACAACATTATATTTCTACCAAACCGTCTACGAATTTGCAGCCACTAATCGTTAATGCTGTAAAACAGAATGGCAATAAAATATTTACATTTATCAATGAAGCAATTACTCCTGCTTCTTGCAATGGCAACTTGTTCTTATTTAATCATTGGTAAATCAGTCATACCAACAAGGTCTGCTACCGCATTATTTCTGAATAATAAAAACGGTCTGTGCTAATATAATAGCTCTGATTAGATTGTGCATATGTTTATGTGTTTCATGCTGATGCACATGTGTGTTTGTATTTATATTTCATATGTGTACAAACAAGCATTTGCAGCACTAATTTGTTTGTCCATTTGCCCAAATCATCATATTTCAATTTTGATATTTCATTTGTGATGAAAATATGTCTTATGTGGTAATATGGTAAATCCGTAAACTAAAAAGATGGTAGCGGATAATATATTAAACAAATGAATGACATTTCAATGACTTTTCAGATTGAAAACCACAAAACCGCGTGACATTTTAAGTATCGAACAGCAACAGCAGAATACGGTTAACAAAAAATCACTAGTTCATAAAGAAAAAGCTGAAGGAGATGAAAAAAGCGTTGTTGAGCTTGTTCAGAATGATCATGAAATAATACTGGAACGAATAAGGTTCATTTTTTAGTCGCTTATTTCTATTAATATTGCTAAATTCTTTGTCATAATTTTTCCGATGTTTAATTTCTGTTAAGTTAACTAGTATATTATAAATAGAGATTTTTATTATATTTTTATAACTCTCCCAAAAGAAGAAATAGATAATAACAAAGAAATAATTACCACTGAATGTTTTTTATATTTTTTAATTCTTGTATCCACTAAGACTAGCAGACAGTATAGGAGGAGATATGGTGAGGGAACTAGAATCCTGATTAGTGTATGAGTAATTTTTGTATGAATGATTATCATAAAATGCATTTGCTCTTCAAAGTTGTCTTTTTTTCTAGATCACCGGATATTGATATGCAACGAAACGGAACATCAACCACGCTAATTGTTAATATGGATGATAAGCCACTTGCAGAAGATATTCCATTATTTGATGAACTTGAAAATCGCTTGTTAAAAAACAGGTCGGATGATCTAAAAAAGATATGTCCAGATCCAGAAGATAACAGGAAGTTGAGTAAGTTGTGTAAATTAGTTGGAAAATTTTGTTTTTTTTTTTTTTTTTTTTTCTCCATATAACTTTTATAAGCAAACTGTACAGCTGTAATACTGTTTTTTTTTCTTTTTCTTATTTAAGTATGAATTTTAGTTTGTAACCATATGTTTCCTTTAACACATCATCCTTTCAGTTGGGCAATTGCCACAAGCTGTGCTTTTAATAACAAACTTAAAAGAAGCCGAAGTAAAGAAACATTATCCATATTTAAGACCTGGCGGACACTGGAAACCAGAAGATTGCATGACTGAACATAAAGTTAGTTGATTGAGATTTGAACTTGTGTGAAACAACATGCATTTATTTTTGTTTTCCATATTCAGGTATTTTTTAATTTAGATTTCGTTTTTTTTCTCTTTTTTAGTGACTCCTTGTTTAATATGAGGACTTCAATACTTTGTAAGAGACTAAGTAAACAGCAATTTCATCTGAAATCTTAGCATTTCTTGTAACCTTGTGGAAATCATTAAGTGCTATAAGAAGAGAGGAACTGTACATAATTGTTTTTTTTTTTTTTTTTTTTTTCCAGATAGCTGTGATAATTCCATTTCGAGATCGTCAAACACATTTGACCCGTCTTATCGATTTTCTTATTCCAGTGTTTAAAAGGCAGGAATTGGATTTTCGGTTTATTGTAACAGAACAGGTATGGTAATCTAGCTAACTTCAATATACATTCAGTGTGCAAAATTCTCAAAAATTTCAAAATATGTCTGAAGACATTATCACATAATTTTCTGAACTTTTTAGTCCTTAATGCTGTACGTTGCATATAAATGCTGTATATAAAAGAATCATTCAACATAATTTCGTCCATATGATTTGATGTGTTTGACTAGCAAGCAAGATTTTTGTTTATTAGTTGACGTGAAATTCTAGTATTTGTGAAAGTTGATTTTCCAGTATGGCAATGGTCTATTTAACAAAGGCCGAATAATGAATGCAGCGTTTCGCTTAGCTGAAAGTCTCAATGTAAGCTGTGTTATATTTCATGATGTTGATATGTTTCCACAGAATGATCGTAATTTCTACGGTTGTCCACCAACACCACGTCATATTGGTGCTTTTGTTAGTAATCTTGGATATCAGTAAGTTTTTTTGAAATGTCATTACTTTTTTATTATTTAATACTGTCAGTTTCTGATTCATTTGCAAATTCTTATTCTGTAACAACTGTCAGTCCGATGCTTAATATTAACACTTATACTTTGCTAAAATCATTACGAAACGTTCCATTCCAAAACAGCGCTTAAAGTTATATCAAAGTCAAAAATGATCGTTCACAAAATGAATGTCTATTTTTTTTTTTTTAACTTCCCTAATTATTTCCTTAAGCAGCTGTGTCTTTTTTGATTCTCCCGTGTCTTTTGTTTCGAAGTGAATTACAGTATGATTGCATACAGCTATTCCATATTGAAGCTTACAGCTTTCTTGGAAAAAATATCTGGGAAAGATAGTGATTCGGTATGACAAAAATTATCTTTTGTAGATTATGGTATAAAGAAATAGTTGGTGGCGTTCTAGCAATTAGCATGGATGATTACCGAACAGTAAATGGTTATTCGAATATGTATTGGGGATGGGGTGGTGAAGATGATGATATGGGTTAGTGTTAACAGTTTTGCGTCTTACTGTAAATCTTGGAACTCTAGTTTATGCATTTGAATTTGCGACTGCATTCATAATTTTATGAAATGGTTAAAGACAATGTCGGAAGTCTCTTTCAAATGGTTGTTGTGCCGACATGCAGGTGCGCTGCAAAAGAGCGTGTTGTGACAAAAGCTATAGTCTTTATCAGAAATGGTCTTAAATATGCGAAATTAAAAGAAATCACATGCTTTAACTTACTTTGGTTTGCAGGGAAACGAATAATGGCACAAAATCTAACCATTGAAAGACCTGATGTTACCACAGGTCGATTTACCATGCTGAAACATGTCAAGAGGAAACGAATTGCACCAAAATTAGTGTACGTCTCATATTACTACCCTTTTTCCATAGCCATATATTTTTTTATTCACTTGGAATTGTGGAAATTCGAAACGAGATTCAGCCATGTCTAACACAATTTAGCAATTAAGATAAATGATATAATTGTTGATTTGTGTCTTATTTAATATATTTTAAATATTTGAATGCGCAGTTTCAAGTAGATTAAATAACACGCTACTTACTACCATTAAAGTTATGTCATCTTAATGCAACAAGCGGTTATATTTAGACAAGCAAAATCCTATTCTTTTTTGCAGATATAAATTGTTAGATGATGCTGAAACACGCTACCGAACTGATGGTCTAAATGTTACTTCATGGAAAATATTAAAAGTTTGTTTTCGATAATTCAAATAACCAGGGGCTTTTCTGCTGTTTTCTATTTAAATTTAATTTTTTGATTTGAAGAAAAAGTTTTCGTTTCACAATTTCATAAAAGCTGGCAGTTGAGTTATTCCTCTTTGTTTCAAGCTCTGATTAGAACTTAATTCGGAAGTGAGTAATTTTTAATTTTTCAGGTTACATTACGGCCATTATATTATCACATATATGTTGATGTTGGTAAGCCCCCATCAGAATGGGTATGAAAGTTTTTGGTGCTCTACGACTAGGAATATTTTTTCATTTTGCGAAGTTGTATGGTCTTGAAAAGACTAGATTCTGCTCGTTATATAATAACGCTAAAGAAAATCCGAAGGTGGGCCAATATTCTAGCGAAATGGTAAAATAAATTTGGTCCATTAGACGTGCAGAATTGACCATATACTTTTTTTTAAACATTTTTTTTTTTCAAAACAGTTTTTGAATTCATCACATGCTGAAGTGGTATCTTGTCATTTGTCGGATGAGCTTGTTAGTGGATTTGCGTCCAACTCAGATCTTCGTCACTTGTCACGAGTTTCTGTTTTACTATACATATCTTTTTTTAAAATGCTAATCTAACTTATTCCTCTGAACAATTCACGACTGCGATTGCTTTTGTTGAGGACATGTTAAGGGCATTATAGTTGTTTTGCATATTTCATGGTACAGTTTCATATATATATATATATATATATATATATGTCTCGAACATAATGTGCAAAGACCAGACTTAGTGATTTCAATATGCGCATAATACTAGTTTTTTCAAATGTTTTTCTATCAGTTTTGCTGTTCCTTCTGCTGCATACACTGTAAGACATGGTAATACATTTGTTTCCAAATATTCGAAATATGTATAACTGGTAAACATGCATATAACTTCAGTTGCCATTAGCCAGCTCTACGTCGTGAAGCTTCTTTTAACCTAAGCGATTGAAATGCACAAGTTATTCACAGTCAAAAAAAGATGTTCTAATTTTGCATTGACTTTGTTGTTTAAATACTCACCACTCCTATGTTCAATTTCGATTTTTGTCGCAGGCAGGGAAGCTCTATCAATTTTCTGATCATATATTGTTGTTTACTATGAACTTCATAATCCGTAACTGATTTATTATTTTTGATTTTTTGCTTCCAAATTTCCATTTGATCTCAAGGCTATAATTATTGTCCTTATCTTTAGATTTTTCCGATTCAATTTTTCAGTTGATCCCCTTTTAACTTCATCTTTATCCCTTTACAAACGACGATGATAATGGACGAAGTATGCAATGACAATGAAATAACTGATGTATCTCAGAAAATATATTTCACTGACATTCATCTTTCTTCCTTTGTTAGCTTTCCTCCAACCCCCTATCGTCGATGACAGCATATTTGTTATCATAGTGATATTTCACCTCCATACTGCCTGAAATCAAGAGGTTATTTATCAATATTTAACCATGTAATTATCGGATATTAATTTTTTTTTTATAAATAGTAGGTCAAGCAACATTTTTTTTTTAATTCTAAATATTACTTCCGTTTTATAAATAATAGGTTAAACGACAATTTTTTTATCATTATAATTTTGCGATATTGTAATCAATACATCTTTTTGTAATTTTATATAAATTCTGGTCGAATTGAATGATAAATGAAGTAGCTAAGATGTGATAAAGCATCGTTTGCTATTTCATGTAGTTGCCTATATCAATGATTGTTTTCTTTTTTGTTTTAGACATAGTACGAATTTCTTAGTTTAGCTCATAGAACTATTCTATTGTTTTATATTTCTCCCCATTTTTCCATCATTTTAGTGCTACATTTGCTAATTTATGTTAATTTTGAGTTTGGCATATTCAAAAATTTCAGTCATAGAGTAATCCAAATTCCGTGTATAATTTCTGTATGAAAAGATTTGCTGACAAATTTCTCATATTTTTTTTTTATGAAATTTTAAATTGAAGCGGTACAGACTTGAAAGAAAATATTGATCATCCTTGTGTCATTTCAAATTGTTCATGTTTTGTCGATAGCTCAACTTTTCAAGCATATTCAGAAACACACTCAGGTAAGCATTTGTGTAACTGGTTTTTCTTTCCAGAATTGAATTGATCGGTCCATTGAATTGAGTGTTGCTTTTAATCAGGTATTATTTCCATCTGTTAACTGATTTCTTTTTTCCTTTGATGAGTACTAGTGTTGGAAAGCGATTTCATACCAGTAAAGAATACATAACCGGTGAAAAAAAAAAAAAAACTGCTTTCCTCTCGTGAAAATGTGTATTTCTGTTTTTAGTTCTGCTCTATACTTGATGTAATTTATAGGAATTTAGTTTTCTTTTTATATTTGATGATATTATTCTGAAATTTGTTAGTCACATTGCATTCGGAGCTTGTTTGAATTCAATTTATAAGCATGTCAGCATTTCAATCTTATGTTTTATTTATTGTTACTACGTAATATTTATAAATTATTGCAACATAAAACTGCAACAATAAGATTTTTTTTACTTTGTATCAAATAGAAAAGGGGTTTTAAGAATTCTAAAGTTTGTCCTATATATACTAATACCCTGTATATCCTATTTATCATTTGGTTGAATCATGATAACAATCCTGAGAATATTAGTCCATTAGTTTTAGTTTTGTTTACTATGTTCTGTTGTGGCAAGGGTTGTTTTAAAAAGGGAAAGCCATAGGTGAAAAATCGGATTTAAATTGTGGAAAGTTCGAGAGCGAGAGACAATATGCAACCAAAATTTCATTCGTCGAAAACCGCTCAGTCAATAGGAGATGGTGTATTATTTTACTAAAACAAATGATATATAGCTCAAAAAAAAAAAAACCAAGTTAATAAGCCGGGGTATTAAGCTTTATACTGGAATTATTAAATTAAGCTCAATAAATTCGACAGTCAAGCTATATTTGGCTTAAGCTGATACTTATTGAGCTTATTTGACATTCAGTGGAATGGAAGTCTCGTTTGAATAGAGTAACTTCGTTCCATTATTGCCAGAAGCTTAAACTTAAATACCTAAGGATTGTCGCGTCAGATTGAAATTTTATACCTAAAAAATTTAGCAACGTCAAAAATTTTATAATTCTTTAAAAGATTTCAATAGTTTTAATCATTAGTGTGCTATCCTTCAACACAACACATTATTTTAGATTAAGAAATGTCAATTCTAAATTTCTTGGCATACTTTTTTTACTTTTTAATGGATAGCAGAAAGTGAAAAGATAAAACTTTCAAATATCAGTCAAATTATTTGCCTTCTAATGACATTAATAAATATGTTGCCATTTATAATATCAGACTAAAACTTTACATTATCGGTTCAATTTGATTTCTTGTTAGCAAAAAAAGAAAAAAGAAAGCTATGTTTTATGTTTAATATCACTTCAAGAAGTTAAGAAAGCTAATCTAATTAACGATAACTATTCGTCCGCCAAATGATAAGGAGTTCAAAAATTAAATTCAAATAGTATTACTACCACTAAGCTTGTTTACTTATTCAGATTATACTTAGTATTTGGTATTTTATATTAGGTATTATAGACAGTTAGAAAATGTTGGAGGACAAAGTAATTGACATTAAATCAATCAATGCAATTCTTACATTATCATCAGTGACAAAATTGGATTTGCAACTTTTCTAATTTTATGCAAATTTTTTTTTTTTAATTTTTTTTTTTTTTGAAAAAAATTTGATTTATATTCACATAGATGAATCACTGATATGTAAACAAGATGACATATAGACGGTGCTGTCGACGAAATAATATTTTAATTGTGATTGTGTTCGATTTTATATTGTTGTTTATTTATTTTGGCAACAAATATGCGTGCGTTTCGTAATGAAATTTTAAAAGCAAACTTAATTTTTAAATTGATTGAAAATTTCCTTTTTTTAAATATGCTAAATGAATGGGAATAAAATGATAAAAAATATTTGCTAGCATATATAGTATTACTATTTGCAGAGAATACACAATCATTGTAAAAATAACAGTAATATAATAAGTTCAAAAAACAACAAATTTCAATTTATTAATCAAACTGTAACATATATGGAGATCTTTAATCTTTAATAATTAGGGCTAAAGTTCACTTTCAAAAATTCAAAAATTAACAGAATATATTACTACGATACTAATTAACAATATAAATGCTAATTAAAGAACGAAATTGCTTTATTCCTCTTCTTTTTTTTTTTTTTTTTTTCATTGAATTTAGTCTTATAAAAAAGAAAAAATTTTCAAAATAAGTAATAAATTTGCACTATGGAAAAAAGTAAATTAGATAGAATTCATGAAATAAAAGATATTCATTAAATTTTCAAATTTTTGTTAATCATGTAAATTTAGAAAATCTCATGAAATTGATTTTAAAAAAATACAAAAACTCTCCGAGAAATGAAGACTTTATATAATTTAAAGTTTTTTTTTTTTTTTTTTTTTTTTTTTCAATAGAATCTCTGACAGTTGCTTGGTAAATGATTTTGGGAATATTTTAGTAAAATACAAAGTGATTACATGGTGTATACGGAAAGAGAAATTTTGAAAAAGGAAATGAATAATGAAACTATGAAAATGTTTCAAAATGAATCGAAAGCTCAAACAATGCTAGTATTTTGGTAAAGTTAAAAATGAAAAAGAAAAAAAAAAAAGTAGCATATTTTTTAAATTGTTACAAAGATGGAAAAGGACAAAAATATGTTTTAAAGAATGAATAAAAGAATTTTTGAAATCTTTCACTATGAATTTTTTTTGCAGATTTTGTAGTATTATTGATAAAAAAAAATATTTTCCAATGAATTTTTACAGGATTTCAACATCAGTACTGAGACAGAAATTTTTAAAGCTTTTATTGTCATCTGTCATCCATCAAACAACACTATCAAACTTTATAAGACATCAATTTAAAAGGCCTTTCAAAATTGATCAATTTAAACAAAAAGATTACATGAATGCTTCCAATTTCTGTCCTACTTTTGATGAAATTACAGATTTCTGTTAGTAAATTATTTTTGATGATTTTTTCGCTTTAGCAATTTAATTGCAAAAAGTGAAAGAATTGAAATGGTGCAAATGTGTTTGCTTCATTCCATTTTAATCAAAAATTTTTATCAAAAAAATTTTTTTATGATAAATAAGTTTATTATATGATAAAATATTGCTATCTTCTATTATTGCAAACTTCTGATATGTTGTAAATAATAAAATTAACATAGACAAATTTGACACTGATCATAAGCACTCTTTTAGCTGGGCCATTATCAATGGGTCCATTATTGATAAATAATTTGAAAGAGCAAGAAGTAGCCCAAAGACATTCATATATTAAATCAGGTGGTCATTGGAAGCCAAGAAACTGTCTAGCAAGACATAAGGTTACTTACTTTTGCTTTTCATTCAATTATTCCATAAACATAATTATTAAATTTTAGAAATGATTTAAAAATCGCTTATTTAATTGATCCTACAAAATATCATCTTATGACGTGTTTCACGTGATGAAAAGTGTCCTAATATGTGATTGAATGTATTTACACTTTAGATATTAATTTATAAAATTATGATATCAATTTGTAATGTTTTACAGATAGCAATAATAATTCCATTTCGTGATCGACAATCACACCTAACACGATTGCTTGACTTTTTATTTCCAATTCTGAAACATCAGAATCTTGATTTTCGATTCATCATTACTGAACAGGTTAATTACTCAAAGTTTTGCTTACCTTTAGATTATAAATATGCTCATTCATTTGTCACAATTTATTCTATTAAATTATATTATCTAAATTATATTTACTTCCTCATACATTTTCTTATGACAAGAAAACAGAAAATCAAGTTAAAATCAACGAAAATAAAATCTTAAAAAAAAAAAAAATTTAATATTATAAAAAGTTAACTCTAAGAATTCTAGAAATAAATTTCACTTATCTAAGCAAACCTACTACTTATCTCGTTTAGGTTCATTCATCATTTGTTTGCATACTTTTGTATAAGCCTACAATAACTCTCGCATATAGTTCCTTTCAAATATTATTATTTACTTACCTTTTTTTTTTAGTACGGGAAAGAATTGTTCAATAAAGGCAAATTAATGAATGCAGCATTTTCCTTTGCGGAAAAACTAAGAGTAAATTGTGTAATATTTCATGATGTTGACATGTTTCCAGCAGATGATCGTATCAATTATGGTTGTCCGGATACACCACGACATATCGGAGCTTATGTAAATACTTTGGGTTATAGGTTAGCTCTTTTAGTAAACTCTCCTCTATCTGATATAAATTGAAAATTATGCATTAAACATTTATTTACATACTTTTGCCATTTCAAATTATATCTGTGAAATATGACAGTGCCAAGTTTTTTTAAGTTTGGGAAAAGAACTTTGTTACACTACAAAGATTCTAACAAAAGATTTTAAGGTCTTATATTTGGGATGCTTAGAAATTACTTTTAAGAATATTTGAATGTAATTTTTGATATTCAAATCCGTTTCCAGAGTTTAAAAAAGTTTAGAGTTTGTCAAGGTTCATCTTCACTATCAAAAGCTAGTTTTCAGGACTGAAACATATATATGTTTGTATAATAATTCTAATTTAAAAATCATTTAGATTAAAATATAATTTATATAAGCATCATTTGTTTTTTTATATGTTGACATATAAAAATAAACATATTATTACCTTATTCATTATTCGAAGTAATTATTATTAAATATCAGAGAAAATAATGATAATACTAATAAGTGAGTTTAACAATTTTAGGTTAATGTATGCTGAAATAGTCGGAGGTGTACTTGCAATTCGTATGAATCATTTTCATGCTGTTAACGGATTTTCAAATGAATTTTGGGGTTGGGGAGGTGAAGATGATGATATGGGTTAGGAATATTACAATTTCGTTCATTCTAATTCTTGTTTATTTTGAAAAAAAAAAAAAAAAAAAAATGTTTGATGTTAATGAAATATAACTCTGTTTGACTTACATAATGATTCATATGAAAATATATAAGTCTTTATATTGTAATTTTGAATAATTTTTTATTAATTATAAATTATTCAAAATCAACTCCATCTAATATTTGATTTGTTAGTATGGGAATTTGCAACAAATTAAGAAGTAAACGTTCAAATTTTTCAGGAATACGTATCTTAACGTTAAATATGACAATTGAACGACCGGATGCTCTTATTGGACGTTATGTAATGTTACGGCACATCAAGAGAAAAGATTCTAATAATCAGCTAATGTTAGCATATTTGTTTGAGTAGAAAAGCATCCATTAAAATTTAACACTCACAAGAAAATTGACAGTCATTGTATTGTAAACATTAAAATGAAAAGAATTATTTGTGTAAATACCTCTCTCTCTCTCTTTCTCTCTCTCTCTACATATTTACTATTTAATAGTTATTGAATTATTCAAATAGAACTAATTGAATTCATTTTTAGTAAACGTATGCTAAAAACTTCTCACATTCGTATGCAATGGGATGGTGTGAAGAAGCTAACGTGGACAATTCTTCAGGTATGCATTTATATTCGTAATTAATTACATTTAATATAGTCTAACAAAGTTATTTAGTGTGAATTCTGTAAATTTCAAATCATTCTATTATATTTCATTCACATCTATTTGTCATTGTAAAAAGTAGCCAAAAGTTATGTATTATAATGGGCCAGAAAAATGTAAGCCAAAGAAAGACTTATATATAAAACTTTATTGTTTTTCCTAGCAAATTTGTGCAATTTTTATTTGAAAATTTTTGAAATATTAAAATGTCAAATTCCAGGTTGTTGAACGCCCTCTGTATTATCATTTGTATGTTGATGTAGGTAGGCCACCACCTGGATGGCATTGAAAATCTCAGGAAATTTAAAATGATCTCTTTTTATTTAATACTTTCTGTTCTTCATTTCAAGCTGTCATAAAGTGGATAGCAATGAATGAAGTAAGCTGAAAAAAAAAAAAAAAAAACGTTTTTTAATTGTCATTTTAATTTTTTTTCTTTTTTTTTTTTTTTTTTTTCAAATAAGATTGAATCAATCCTTGTCAAAATTAAATATGTTTTGTACAAAAACAAAAAAAGGCAACAAATTCAATAATATGATAAAATTCATTAGGAATAAATGACAATCCTCATAGGATCTCATCATTTTCAATGAATTTGCATTTAATTTTTACAAGAAAAATCAATTTTCCATTAATTTGCACCTCATTTGTCTTTTAAATTTATTTTCCATTCTAAATTAAAGATGATGAGATTGATAAGATTATATTTAACTATTTACTGAAGCAAAATCGATCGTATATTTGGTATTTTTGAACACATATATATTAATAGATGATGCCTTTTTTCCGTTTAATGATAGCAACGGAGAAATGAAAATTGGCAGTTCTTTTTGTCGAATTTGCAACTTTCATTATAAATAATGAAATGAGAAAAGATAGAAAGACGAATGTGTAAATTAATCATATCAAATAGAAAATGATAAAGATAATAAAGAAAATAAGGAAAATAATCGGAAAGAGTAAGCGTGAAACAAGATCGATGCCATGATTGTGCTTGAAATTGGCGCATTTCGTATCATACGCAACTTCTACCGTCTAAAAATGATTTATCAAAATAATTAATCTGACCCTATTATCACTAATTCTTTGTTATGAATTTTTCATAACTTTTAAATTGTTTCAATCAGTTAAGAAGGATCGAATTATTACTCTCATTTTTTATGCGATTAGAAGAAAAAATGGAATAAAATCTTTATAAGACTCAAAAAAATTATAACTAAATTAATCAATCTACAAGATGAAACAACGGGATAGGTAGAAATAAACAAAAAATACCTGAGTAGGTAAATTAAGTGAAAACACTTACTTCTCTAGTAACAGTAAGAGGAGATTCATCATCTTTCATGATCTTTCCATTTCTGTACCGAATTGTCCTTCTTATTCCGCAACAAATAACGATGAAATATTCCACCAAAGATGCGAATGTCAAAATTAGACAAAAAAGAAGCCATATTTGTAAGCTGCTCACACCATATACTGATAGATTAGGCTGTGGATAGAATACCTATAAAATAGCCTAGTTGATTTATTAGGTGCAGTAACTAAAGGCTTTATGAACATTCATCATTTTCAATCGATCATTATCATAGTTATCAACTTATCAATATGTTCTGAACAACACACAATGCTAATTTTGATACATATGTACATATCTACACAATTATAATTACAGCTAAGATAACATTCTTTGCAATGATTATGATAGCACTTAAAAATCAATTAAAATTAACCGTAATAGAAGCAAAGATGAAGAACGGCACCGCAGCACTGATTGTTCGTGGAACTGACCATGAACCATGAACCCAAAAATGAAGCCATGATGCTAATATCTGTAAGCATAATTTAATTTTAAAAAATATACAATTATAATTAAAGATCAGATTTGTTAGTTTAATATTTATACAAGTATGCTCAGTTCATATTTTGCATAAAAATCTTCCATTCCATTACATTTTTCAATGTTTTTTTTTTTTTTTTTTTTTTCACTTTCAATAGATTAAGTCATCTAACATTAAAATATGCTTTTAATTTTTATAAAACGCTAATGCTATATTCTTCTCTTTGGATAAGCTGACATTATATAACATTATTTTGTCTATCGAATGAAGTACCCCTAACATTTGCTTAGATTTGTTCATAACAAAATTCCTTCCCACAATTACTTCTACATATTCTCGCAAATGGATATAATTTTAAAACGGAAAAAAATTAGAAAATAATAAATTCATGATGACTTTTGTTTGAAAAATTTTCCTAAAAATATGAAATTTTATTAAATAATTATTGTTCATGTTTAAAAAAGCACTTTTTTATGTTCAATTTTTACAATAGCTAGGAAAAAAAAAAAAAAAAAATCAAAAAATTTAAAATAACATTAGAATACGTAACATTCGAAGAAAAGATGAATTACGATCGTGAAAATATTCAAGAATTATAAAAAAGATTCAAAATTTTAAACTGAAATAGAATTCCAGGACAAAATGATAGTAAGCAAATTAAAATATAAGACATAACAATTTGACAAAGTTAAACACTCTCGATTAAAGTATAAAAATTTTTGCATTAATTACCTATCAAGAAATATCACCATTATTACAGAAATTGAAATTTCTAAATGTTACTGTTATTACTTTTATTAATTGAATTTGTAAAGCTTACCAAAAGTATTGATGGGATGAAAATACGCCAAAATGCTTCGGATGAGGCACCAGTGAATGTTATGAGAACATCAATACAAGAATATATACCTAAAAAAGTTAAATCATTTGATCGATAAACGACAAAAAAATTTAGCTTTCGTTGTTGCTTTATCATTTAAAACAAAAGAACAAATACTTTAAATTAGCTGATAAATTGATAAGTTCAATGCAACAATTTTACTTTCATTAAGTGATTAGACGAAGCAAAAATGAAATCATATTCTGTAGAAATTAGAACAAAAAATCTCAAAATTAGAACTCTTGAAAATCACACATTCCATAAAAATTTGTAAAATGAGTTATTTCAGGAAATTTTAAATAAAATTCAGTAGAATTACACGGAAGAAAAAATGAACAAATAAGCTAAATTCATGAAAACTTAAAAGAAACTAACCAACTGTATAATTTCCAGCGCAATCTTCAGCTACCGCTTCTTTAAATTCATAGAAGCCACTTAGCAATTCTTGTGATACTTCAACCGGTATCACTGTAGGCGGTGAATTTGCCCATAAATAGACAATGTCTTCAATTGGATATTTATCTGTAAGTAGAAAGGTTAACATTCAGATGCATCAATTACTGCGGCAATCTTTCAATAATTTTAAATAAACCAGCAGTTGACCTTTCAACTTTCTATGAATCAAGCATAGCTATCAGTAAAAATTCATCCCTGTGATATATCCTTGATAATTTATTCTATGATATATCCGCAAAATCAGTTCAACTTTTTGTCATTCTCGTATTTAATCATATATGAAGTAATTATGAATACACAAAATGATTCATTTGTGAAGAAAAGTAAGTAAGAAAAGTACCAAATTTACAGTTTACAGATGTACCAAAAGTACCATCTAGCAAACTTACCCAAACTGATTCTATTAGCTTAGTAAACAGATTAGATTTAAATACATTAGTGAATGGTTTATGTAATTATTACTTATTTTAAAGAAAAAAATCATTAAATCATTTATTCCAAGTATCTTTTTTATCTTTTTCATTTATTTTTATTTACTTTCATTTTTTTTTTTTTTCAATTTTCATTCTCTTTTATTTTATTTCATTTTTTCATTATTATACAGAAGATGAACTTACAACTTGATAATCTTAGTTTGATCATTCGAGTGTTTTCAAATGGATACTTGGAGCTGTATTCCACTGGTACTGTCACTGTACGCCTTCAATTAATTCATTAAAAAATTGCAGTAATAACAGGTAATTTGAGTATATTAAGAATTTAAGAAATATTCTTAAGTATAAATGCATTATGCAAAGTAAACAAACGTTTATAATGTAATAATAACGTTCCAAATTGAAATGACTTGAAATGTTTGAAAAATTATTTTCTTTTTGAGATACTGTCATACGTAATTATTATTTATTATGTATTCCATAACACTAAACAATTACTTTTTGAAACAATACTGAGATGAAAAATATCGAAAAAAAAGAAAGTGCAAACAGTTTTGTAATCATTTGTTTGATAAGTAAGAAGGAAAATAAAATTATCTATTTAGTGTTTTTTATTTTGTTGAAAAATTGAAAAAAAATTAAAAAAAGAAAAACTTCAAAAGAACAACCATTGTAATATCAAAGGTAATATCTTAATTACAACAATTAATATTTTTTTAAATTAAGAAAAATAGCCTCAAAATGAACGTTAATGTCTCTCTCTAAGAATATTACTTCAATTATGACTTTAAAACTTTACAAAAGATACCGTCACAAGTAATTGTTATTTATTATGTATTCCATAACACTAAACAATTACTTTTTGAAACAATACTGAGATGAAAAATATCGAAAAAAAAGAAAGTGCAAACAGTTTTGTAATCATTTGTTTGATAAGTAAGAAGGAAAATAAAATTATCTATTTAGTGTTTTTTATTTTCTTGAAAAATTGAAAAAAAATTAAAAAAAGAAAAACTTCAAAAGAACAACTATTGTAATATCAGAGGTAATATCTTAATTACAACAATTAATATTTTTTTAAATTAAGAAAAATAGCCTCAAAATGAACGTCAATGTCTTTCTCTAAAAATATTACTTCAATTATGACTTTAAAACTTTACAAAAGATACCGTCACAAGTAATTGTTATTTATTATGTATTCCATAACACTAAACAATTACTTCAATTTATTAAATGTTAAATTAACATTTTGTTGTATGATAAGGGAAAAATAGAAAAATATGCTTAGCTGAGATACTAATTTTAACTATCTTTCAGCTTTGTAATAAAAAAAAAAAAAACTGAGATCTGAATTGACAAATGCAAAAAATGGCAATTTCCATGTTGACCATTTCTGAATACGAATTTTTAGCATCCTCAAATGAGATCTTAAATGAAAAACTTATTGTCACCTTATAATTTTATTTTGCTGATACATTTGAAACATTTAAATGTTAATTTCAACATTTTATGCTTACAATGCTTTTTCTTGGCTTTACCACCAAAATATTAAAGCATCAAAAATTTTAGCTAAAAGTAAATAATAACATTTCGGAAGATCGAACATATCCTGTTGGTTCGACAACCGTTCGATGACGTTTTTCATGATTTACATCATGAGCATTCGAGAAATAAGTATCAGGTATCCAAATTCTTCTATTATGTGGCACGACCACCTCTTCAATTCCATCCCGATCGTCTACTTGATATACAAGTCGACCATCTTCCCACTGTTGTCGTAGGTATAAATCGACAACCTAAAAAATATTCAAAATTAAATTATTTATAAAGTGGAAAAATTTAATTAGAACTTAAGAATTATTTGATTCAAAAATTTAGTTAATAAACACTAATTGAAATGTTAAAAGGTGAAAAATATAAACCGCTTGGTGATCGTGCCATAAGATGCGGTTGATAAAGATCGATGCGATCACAACGATTGCGGAATGATCGGCCGAGTCTGTAAAGCATACAATGAATGGAATAAAATAAGATTTAAGTGGACAACCCCTGACTGGTGGTCGTGTCTGTGGATCGTATTCCGAGAGGATCCTCGACAGCACCTGCCCCTCGAGACCAATTTGACGTGATCGTAATACTTTCGGTGATTGTCCACGTACTGATACAATTATACCAATGCTGAAAAGAAGAAAGAAAGTAAAAGACTTTTTTGAAATTAAATAATAAATAAAAATAAATTAACGAAAGTTTCCCACTTGAATGATTCATTTCATTCATAATATACTAAAGATACTGAATATTAATTAGATTTATATCATTTATCTTTTCTAATTCTAACACAACGTTATTACATACATATACACTATATAAAGCTTATCAGTGCTGATAAAGTATGAACCGTATCTTTAGTCTAACGTATCTATGTAAATTTTTGAAAAGAAAAAAAAATTTGTTAAAATTCAAAAATAGTTATTCTAAATAAATAAAACTTGAAGATATCATCTTTAACTCAAAGATTAAAAATGACTCAAAAAAAAAAAAAAAAAAAAAAAAAAACTCATTTCTTTCAATCTTTCCCATTTTTTTTTGTCATTTTTTCATTTTATTTAAAATATTTTCGTTTATTTTAAGATGCAACAAAAAAAAAATTACACAAAATCACTTGATGAATGCAAATAATGATGAAGAGAAGAGGGAAATTTCCTGAAGAAAAATAATTTGATGAAAAAAAAAAAGTTGAACGAACGCGGGAATGGGAAGAGATAATTAATAATAAAAGAGAAAAAGGATTGAAGATTGTAATTTTGAGAGAGATTTAAGATTGAAAGATTGAAAATAAACACAAATGCTAAAAGTTTGTGTTATCTTTTCACATATTCCTCTGCTATTTTCAGGTTTTCATTGTTTGTTGTTGTTGTTGTTTTTGTTTTTGTTTTTCTCTCTTTTTTTCTTCTCTGATCATTATTTTCACTTTTTGTTCCTTTCTTAAATATTCGACTAAGAAGAAAAAAAAAATTAACTTCTAGAATTTTATTTATTTTGTTTTTTTTTTATATTCGAAATCACTGATTTATTTTATCATTTACATTATGTCGAAAAGTTGAAATATTTCTTAAAAGCTTCACATATCAACTATGAATCATTAGTTTTACATTTTAAATTTTAAAAAAAAGCTGGAAATTAAAAAAAAAAAAACTGTTTCTTTTTAAATTTTATTACGGTTGCAAATTTGATCGCATCTGTATTTATAGTTTCTGCATAGAAACTATCAAATTAGTTGATTTCTCAATTAAAGAAATTTTTGATTACAGCTATGAATTTTTTTATAAATTAACGATAATTAGAAAAACTCATTTAATCAAAAATTTTTTAGCATTTTAAAAGGCATAAAAAATAATTTGAAAAGTGCGATTCAAATTTTTCATATTTATAAAGAAACAGATTTGTCGCTAGGATAAAAATAAATTGTAATTGCGAAAATTTGAATTTTCAGGTAAAAAAATATGCAGCACTTCTTATTCTTTACTTAAATCCTAATTTGAAATCAGGACATTACTGATCGTGTCACATCAAATATCATCCTAAAACAACTGATGATATGATAGTTGACAATTGATAGTGACAAATATCTCGTCGTAAGATTTAGAGAAAATTAAAAACAATTAAAATATTTAATACTGTCCGTACGTACTAAAATATTGCAAAGAATTTAATTTTGCCATTATTTATTAAAAGATTTAAACCATACTGCCAACTTTGACTTAAAATCCACAAAGTTTATGCTAAAAAGAAAGATAGTATAATCGATTGCAGCTTTATCACTTTTATCACTTGCTGTTATCATTATTATTACTGAACCATCAAATTATTCACTTATATAATAATAGACTATAATATTACTATTATTATCAGCTCTACATTATCAGTGTTATCAATCTTACTATTTGTTATCACCATTATTAAGCGTTACTTACTGCACATAATTACGTATTTAATCACTATTCTCGACATATTTTCGAATTACTCATTGCTAAAATAGTGCGAATTTCATTTTTATTCAAACAAGAATGAAAAATTTTTATCAGGAAGAGAAGAAAACGAATGAACTATTAATCAGAGTCTTTGATAAAACAAAAAAACAAAAAAAAAAAAAAAAAAATCAGGTTTAGCACTATTTGTGCTATTAAATTCGTTTCGGGAAGTGTACTATTTTCCAACTGTTCTAATAAAACAAAGATAAAATTCTCTAATAGTAAAAGAAAACTAACTAAAATATTAATCAAAGCAGAAATCTCATCAAAGAAACAATTTATTCGACTTCGAAAAATCTTTAGCAAAAATATTTTATAAAATTAAAAAATTGCATCAAAATTTTGGCATACAAATGCGAGTTTAAATTAGATATGAGACAAATTTAAAATATGGCACGGAAAATTTTCCGGTTACTTTAAAAAGTTTGTATTTACAAATAACTGGAAGCTTAAGCTTAACAATGCTTAAATGGTATTTTAATAAGAGTTTTTAAATTATTCAAAAAATACTTGAAAAATGAACCACGAAGAGATATATTTCAAGCGGTAATGCCTTTTTTGATCATTCAATATCGAACATTTATAGAAAATAAGGACGAACATATATTTATTTGTTAAAATATTATTTTTAATTGGATGAATTACAAAGTATTCAAGAGGTTAAAGTTCACAAAATCAATCAATAATTCATTTATAAGAAACAGTTCTCTTTTAGATTTGAAACTGAATATGTAATTTTGTTCTTTATCAATTAAATGGAAAATAAATTGAAAGATTGTATTGTTTGAAAGTTTTCAAACAAAAATTTCAAGCATTTCGCATACTTTGGTGAGAATTTTTGAGAGACAAAAATAATTTAAAGATAGATTATCTTGAAATCGATGAAATCGATGTGAAACAAAGATGAAATCATTACTATCCAATAAGATAATAACCTAGTATCATAGCTATTCTTATCATAATTCAAGCATTATTTGATCTTTCTGGATAAATTATTAAAATCACTGATAATCCTGATTACAAGGAATACCTTTTAATTTAATAAAAACTGATAAGATTTCTATACTTATTTCGGAAATGAAATTTCGGAAAATTATTTTTTTATTAAATTGATAATTTTCGGAATGTAAAAAACAAATAACATTATATTATACTTAAATAAAACTGTCTAAGTTTATTGAAAACATAAAAATACAAAGCTCGATTAATAAACTTTATATTCAAATATTGCATATCAAAGAAGGATTGAAAGAGAATTAGCAATATATACATATTTTTTTTCATTAATTGTATTACATCTTATTTGCATAATAAATTGTTTGTTGAGAAAAAGAAAAAAAATTTTTGCCAAAAAAAAAAAAAAAAAAAAAAAAAAACGATTCCAAATTAATTGTAAATTGCTGTGAAGTAAAGATAAAAATTTTCAGTGATAAGAAAGAGAAATGTAAAATAAGCAATGAGTGATTTAATCATTTTGATAAATGGAACTTCTAGAAATGATATCAAAGTGAAAGAAACAGAAAAACAAGCATATATTTCACAATGATAATATATCATCATCAGAAATGTTATCATTAATAATTCAGTCCAAAAATAATTTTCAAATGTTAAACATCTTTTGACATTTGAATATTTCGAAAAGTATGAAAAGTTGTTGAATTTAAGAGTCATTTATATCACATCATTTTAATAAATCTAAAGAAAAAAAAAAAAAGGAAAAACACCAATTTTTGCATTATTAAATTTGTAGCTTTCAATTTGAATATATTAGCGAAATAAATTATTTAATTACGCACTATTTTAATATTCACTTCTTGTTTATTATTCAAAATTTAGCAAAGTTTTGACTTCAGTTCAAAGTTTGATTTTAGGTCATAAAAAAAAAGATTCGGCAGAAGCAATTCAGAATAACAGTAATGCATTATGTCTAACAATTGATAATGAATGCACAGTGCAATGGTCATTTAAGAGAAAGTAAGAGGTATAGCGATTGGCTATCGGAAGCAGACAATGACCAATACGGGAATATCAATCATTCAAGCTAATCCTTTTATAATTAATTGTGTGAAATTTAACGTTAATTAGCTAATGGTTATTCAGATTTGAAGTAATTTGAAGGTTTAATTTGCTCATATTCTATGTAGAAACAACGAATTACTTCTCTACCTGATTGCTGTATATGATGAAAAGTAAAGTATATATGACAATCGGTAGGGAAACTGAGTGAGAAAAGGCGGAGAAAAGGCATTTTTAAAGGTTTCAAACGGAGAAAAGGCATTTTTAAAGGTTTCAAGGTCACTTCTAAGGCTAACGCCCAAAAAAATATTACGCATATTATCTGTCCATTTGTCAATCTATTGCTATTAAACTTTTCAAATCGAAAAAAATAAAAATAAAAATCTCAACGAATCGATAGAATATATCAAAAAAAAAGCAATATTTTCTACAACAAAGATAACAAATACTTTGAAAGTAGAAGAAATTGCGCTCTGAAATTTAATCTTAATCTTATGTTAACTGCTATTATTTTTTTAATAATCCTAGCAATATTATACAAAAAAAAAAGAGAAAATATTTCCATAATTAATTAATAATATATTCAAATTTCAATTCATCGGATTTCGGAATATGGCTTTTCTATATTTTACAGCAATAAGTAAGCTAATTTTCTTGTTTTTTTTTTTTTTTTATTTTTTTATTATTCTAATTAAAAAAGCTTTATTTTAATCTAGCTTACCTATGATAATTAAAATAAATTCACAATTTGAAGAAGTTAAATATGCATTTTATTTAATTATTTAAGTAATTTACCTGATGAGTAATAAAATCCAAAAAATCCGTGGTGCAATTGTTGACCACAACATAGCAGCTTTTGTTGTTGTTGTTAATAATAATAGTAACAATAAATTGCTAATTGATCGTAATGCTAATTGATGCTGATAATAGAACAACCTGTGAAATGACAGATAATAATAATAATAATAGAAAAATGAAATAGAAATAGCACCAGCTACTAGCAAATGCTTCAAATTCAGTTTAACTCAAACAGCTTAATGATATGAGAGGAAGTGATCGAATTAGAATGAATTGCTTCAGCAATAGTAACTTTTTGAAGCGCAAATGTGTTATGCTTGTTGAAGGTGAAAAGAAAACCCAAATTTACAATTTAAATCTTTTCTCATTTTCAACCAACAAAAATAACAATAAATGACGAAGAGGAGAAGAAAGAGAAAAGAGAGAAGAGAGGAAAGAAGATGACGAGAATGAGAATGGAAATGAAAATGAAAGTGGATGATGATGATGATGATATATTTTAATTTTAACTAACTTTTCACGAAAAACAAACATATGTTATATAGTTTGAGCAGTAAAGTAAAAGAAATATCTTTCTCCTAAATTTCATCGTTTTTGCGAATTCATTTCCTCTAAATGCTCCTTTCCTCTTTTTGTTACATTTTTCAATTTCTTTTACATCTTATTTTCATATTTATTCATTCTATTCTGCTAGTTTTCTACTACATACACACACACACACACACACACACACACACATACATACACACACACATACACATACACACACATACACACACACACATACATACACACACACATACACATACACACACATACACATACACACTTCCGCACTTATTGTGTAATAAAAATAGAAATTGCTATTTCTTTTTTGCAGATTTACTGTAACCGATAAGTGATTAGTTTAAAACTTTCTGTTTGAATGGAATGAATGTATTACACTTTATTTTGTTTTGATTTAGAAAAGAATGTGAAATGATCGAAGGGAATGTTAAAATATAGTAAAAATATATGAATAAAAGAAAGTAGTAAAGGAAGAAAAAATTATTTCAATTTTATTAAATGTTTTCAAGAAGAGTAAACGAAATGAAAAAAAAAAAAAAAAACATTACAAAACAGCTTAAAAAGATTCTTTTGATAGAAAGAGATAGCATAGGAACAGGTAAACTAGTAATTTAATAATAAAAAATGAAAGCAAAAAAAAAAATGAAAAATTTCAGCAGTTCACGAATCAATTTGTACACTTTTATTATAGGGGTATGTTATTGAGAATAGATATTATGAGTTGACAAAAAAAAAAAAGTTGAATGGAGCAAGTTGAAAGGTCAGACTGGAGATAGAAGAAAAGAATGGAACAACAACAACAAAAAATATGACATTGCAGAGATGAATCGAAAGTATCGGTTGGTAAAAATGTTGTAATGTTTGAAAGTACTTTTTAATAAATTTCAAATGTCAGGTAAAACTGCTGAAATGCTAAAGGAATGAAGTAAAATAATTTGGTAATGTTGACTGATACTGATCATGTTTAATGAGGTAGCGGGAAGATGACAAGAGACAAGAAGAATAACTATTTTGACTAATAAAGGAAGTGATGTAAGTAATTAAACTAAAAAAAAAATTGCTACTCGATAAAATGTTTTTTTTTTGAAAAAAAAAAAAAAACTGTAAATGAAATATGTAATGGATCACTAGTTAAGGGGTAGTTAGTTTTTCAGTTATTAGCATCTAATGACAACATGATTGATTGATTTATTTATTTATCACTATCGAATTCCACAATGTTAATAACAACACTATGACATTTCCGACAACTAACAGTGCAATGAAATTTCTGACTGAGAAAAAAATTCTATTTACATTTACTAAACCCATAGCTGCTCTAAACAATTATTTGACAATGCATAACAACAAAATTTGAAGGTTAAAATGAAAGGTTACCTTATTGATGAATGACTCCACTGTACTACTGAATACCTTACTTTTTTTTTTAAAAAAAAATCTTGCTTTATCACCAAAATCTATTCAAAAAGTAATCAATGTACCCTACTCAAGAAAGATTTAATTGTCTTCTCGAAAAGCAAAAGCAAAAGTTTCAAGGCCAAAATAATTTCAGAATCGTGCATGTATAGGTAAACTCAAATTTGCTTTAAATGTTTAAATCGTATACCTACAAAGATCAGGGAATATGTTATAACACGAAAGTTATGCATATTTGTATGTCTGCCTGTGTCAGTCATTTTAATTCAGCATCAGATTTTACCAGTATTTCCCAAGTAAACAGAAAGAAATTATCAACAATTCAGAACTGTTCGAACCTGAGATGAGATGATTGTCAGTTCTGATACTAAATTAGTAATATGCACAGAATTATTAGAATTTATTAGATATATTAACCTGTAATAATATACCCACTACAAGAATGACTTATACTCACAGTGAACTGTGTTAATTCACTCGCATGGAAACATTAATTACATCAAATATAAATAGTGGTGCAAGACCAAAAACCAGAAATTACATTACCCGCAAATTCACACAAAAGACAATGGCACGATGAAAAACATAGTAAGTTTGAACAAATTGAAATCAAAATACATTAAATTGGAATTCGTCTACAAACAATTATTATGCGTCTCCATATTACCTAAATATCTTTTCCAGCAATTTAAGATAAAATCTAACTTGCTAAGTTAACAGATCAAAATGTTTGTACAACTGACACCACAAACTATTTCTTGAAAGTTGATGTAAGACTCTGGCACGCAGCAAGTGGCTGTTTTGAACAACAAACAATTTCAATAATTTCAAGCTCTTCGAGGATAAGAAAGTGATAACAAATAAATTTTAAGGTAACATATAACTAATTATGCTTTGCTCTGTGACCTGTCGCATAAGAAACCCATCGATTAGCAGTTACATTAAAAAACTCATCCTTTGTAATGATATAAAGCCATTTCAATAAATAAATATGCACGGAGTGATAATCCCAACGCGCCAAATTTGGTGCCGTTTTTAGACCCAAATGTCTTAAATCATAAAAAGTTCCACTTCCGGTATCAAAAAGAGGTAGGAAAATTCGCAAACTTTCTAAACCGGCAGAAAATAATGCAGCTGAATCGTTGTCACTATCATGTGAATTAGAAATTTGTGCAAAGTCATATAACCCAATAAGTGAATACAAAAAACCATTCAGCACAAACGTGCCTGGCGTAGTTGGATATTCTTCAAACCATGGATGACCGAAAAGTTCATTTAGCACTCCACCTTTTGAAGCTTTCTATAAAAAAAATTTTAGTTGGATAAATCTTCCAATTCTCATGAGAATACTAAAACAATAAAAAAACAAAAGATTTTATTACTTTGAAATGAAAGTAGCACTCTTAAATTATAGCACGAGAGTAAATTCCATTATTGGACATTATAACTAGAAAAATATGAAATTCACGCTAATTCTACTAAAGTTAAGTAAATTTCTTACTCTTTCTGAATGAAAAATACAGCTTAGCACCTCATTAAATCTTCCTTAATTAGACAGTGGTCAAGAACACTTGCCCAGTTAATTCTTCTTGATTAGGAAATTTAATAATCCTAAGTAATGAAGACGCAATTAACTCACTATTTTAAAAAGTTGGAGTGCACGCTTTGCACCCTGAAAGTACTTCATATCATTTGTTACAACATAAGCTCGTGTAAGCACACTTAAAGCATGCCCCTGAGCCATAGCACTATACCAGCCTGCTGGCAAAATCAAGCGTTTATCGGCAATTGAGCTGTAAAAATATCTGAATCATGATTACTTGTATGAAAATTTGAAATGAATTAAAATTATTGCATTTTGTTCAGTTCATCATGCTTATTTCAAAATAGACATAAAATCTTTTAGTTCAAATCTTAAAACTTACCGTTCAACAGGAACTGACCAACCACCATGTTCATCTTGATTATTAGTTAACCAGTCAGCTGCTACGAGGAAGTGTTCAAGATGTGCAGAAGATCGTTGTTCAAAACTACGAATTACCGAATGTCCTCGAAAAGTAATCGAATCCAAAATTACATCTCCTGAAAATCATCCTCGGTCACCTAATCATTTTTCACTTAGAAATAAGTGGTGCACAGTAAAAAACTTAGTCAAAGGAAAACACAAATTATCTTTGAACTGTAAAAGTGCAAGCAATGTTATACCACTAAACATTAAAAATCTTCAGAAAGGAAGAAAATAAACTGCAATTTCTTAAGCAGAAGTATCCCTCAGGCATTGTATTCTGTTTTACTGCTGCAATTTCAACTAAGTAAATTCATTTTCTTCACAATTTAAGCTAGTCACTTTTCATAAATTATTCTATCAGAATGTATCAGAAAAAGAAAAAATAATAGAATGCCTGGATGTAGAAGGATGGTTTCTTTTTTTTTTGAAGTTGATGCGAGAGCACGACCAGTATCAACCAATAAATCACGACAAATCCAACGCCATTCATTTGGATTTGGTTCTGCACCCAAAGAATAATTATACTCAACCTGAAAACTGATCTTTACAAAGTAATAACACAGACTGTCATCAGAAACGTAATACATAGAAACTGATTATTATATTATAATTAATGATTTAAAATTCACCTTTCCTTCAAAAAACCTCTAATAATAAAAAAATTTATAAGAACTCTAAAAGATAATGAAGGTTTTCTCTTAAGAGAAAGTAGTACTAGTACAACTAGAACAGTTTAATAAACGTTTAATAAGTTCTTTAACATCTCGATAAAACACTTTTAGACAAGTCATCTTTTCAATGTTCAATTATATATATATAAAACAAACTTTGCTTGTCTTCTTGTTGTGTGAAACACACTGCTCATCATCGTTATGAACGTAATGCAATAGTATAGTTTTCTGACTCTGCAAATGAAAAAATACTTTATCATCTCCAAGTAAATATTAGATATTAGATCCAGCTTAGATATAGCCAAACCAATCTATAGACTTACTATATGCATTCAAAAATTTTAAGCGCCGGAATTTATATTCCCACAAAAACTTCCATACATTATTTTCTAACGAAAAGAAAGTTGATGATTACATAAGCAAGCTTCAAGCTGATCGTAAAGGAACCATCTACGTCAGCCAACCAAAAGAAAGACAGTACTGAAAATGCCGGATCACCATCAAGTACCAACGAAACACCATGATCTATAATCTTAAATAATCAACATCCTTCGAAATAAGAACTAGCAAAAAAAATAAAATAAAATTAATTGCCTAAACAACACAGAGAGTGAAGAACAAACAGACCGACAGAGTTAATTTCAACCCTTGTAGAGTTCGCTTCTTTATCAAAACCTAATTTGAAACCATTTCCACCAAGCGTGTTGTCATTCCATTCCTCCGCTATTGTGCCTTTTGTAAATACAATCGATGATGGAGCTGGAATTTATAAAAAAAAAAAAAAAAAAAAAAAAAAAAAAAAAACTAGCAAATTCAGAAACTTCAAGTTTCATTTCACAATTACAGATTTTTTGTTTCGAAAATCTGAAACATTTACCAGTTTTGAATCGACTGTAATGCTGCAAAGCATACTGGGCGATTTGTATGGGGTAGAAATAAGGAACCGCTGACCACTGCGTTGACAGTGGTACACCTGAAAAAGAGTTGAAAGAGAGAGAATTCGTTATTATGAGACACAAATACACTTTTAACTCTTCATCCAACTAGTTAAAAACCAACCGTACTGAGCACTAATACAACGTACGCGATCTCTAGTTTCTACGCTGTATGATGCGAAATGACCAAAAACTCCATGGTAGTCATAGTTATTAAAATCTGGAAAACGAACTCGAGCATGTGATGTTGACCATTCAAAATGTCTCGCTACCGAATCTGAATATTACTAAGGAAGAAATTTTCAGATGATTTCTTTAAAATTTCCAACAACGGATCGCTTTACAATCCTTCATCATTGTCGGAAGACTCTTTTCTAATAACAAAATACTGGAAAAATGGAACGAAATAACGCTCCAACCTTTGAAAATCATTCCAGAAACATCGAAATGTTTCTTAAGAAAAGCATTGAAGGGAAAATACACTTCATTTGTAAATTCTTCTTCATAACATTGGTATGTTTTCTCGTTATCAACTGTACAAGAAATTTCCTTCAAAGTAGAACTTCTACTTTCAATTTCCTCATTCTGAAATCAAACAAGGAAAATGAAATAAGCTGAAAAAGAATGCTAATATCATAAAGGGCATGTGTCCTATTTTTTGTTAATAATAAGTAATGAGCAGAACAAAAAATGAAGAATGTGTTAATTACGTCCTATTGATATTTTTCACCACTGACTTTTAACAATTTACAATAAATCGTTCGCAGCAATTCTCATTTATGCATAATGCTTGTTCTAATTGTAAATTTCATGTATTTTAGAGAAGGAAAAGAGAAAAATAGCAAAGAATTGTTCATTAATCCTTGTGAGAATTCCGGAATTATTCAAATAAAGCAATTAATAATTGGAAGAAAGCTTACTGCTGCAGTACAGCATGGTTGCAGAGTATCGGAAGAAACAGTTTTGCGAGATGATTGTACAATCCAAAGAATTGAAAGTGCGAAAACTGTAAGTAGAATGGTGATAATATGTCGTAATTTAAATCTTATCATAACAGCTTTCGTCGTCGGGTAGCACCGTTAACGGATATGGATATCCTGAAGCCATCAGCTTATTCCATTTCCGTTGAAATTTACCTGTTATCCTCCAGCTAAAAATTATTTATTTATTATTAAGCATTCTTTTATTTTTATTTATTAGCCAATTTGGACATGAAATATAGCAGAAATGAATAGTTTGTTCAGCATACGATAAAATGAACAGTAAGTAAGTCCTAAAACATGATGAAAATTCTCTTTCAAAAGAGAGTCAAAGTATCGACACTATTATACCTTTTTTTTTTTTTGGTTTATACATAAAACGCTACATAGAAACCACAACTTATAAAAAAACTGATCAAATAATTCAAAAAAATGAGAAAAGCATGCTAACAAAAAATTTTTTTTCCAAAAATTCTTCCAAAAATTGAAAAAGCTATACCTTTTCTCCACAATGTTAGCATTACCAATGACCTTTGATCGTTTGCTCTAAAAAATTAAATGAAAAAACAAATAACCACACTGATCTTTAGTGAAAGAAAAAATTCGAGAAATAACGTAGAATCATAACGAAAATCCTTTTCCTACATGAAAATCAAACCTTCGGCTGTTTTCGATCAATAATTGATGCATAAACAAAAATAAATTAATTAAGATAATTTCATTTGTAATTAATAAGCTTTTCCTTGACAGATATCACTTCTCAACTGTCTTTTAAATTAAATTTTTGTTGTTTCCTATGTGAATCGCTTTAAATGATAGTATAGTGCTTAGTTTTAATGTTGCTAATAAAAAAAGTTTTATATCTTTTTTCTTCATTAAAGTTATTGAGTTAAAAAACTGATTAAATTTCTGCTTAGAAAATATCAGAAATGTATTGAAGAAGAAAGATTGAATTGATCGTAAACTACTAATCTCTTAAATTTTATTTTATTTTTTTTTTACTTTTAAAAAAAAATTTTTTTAAATTTAAAATCTATCAAATTTAAATTGAAAGAATTTACGGGAAAATTACTTCAAATATATCAGTAATAGATATTGGTAATTGTAAGTTGTTGTCAATCTCAAAAATTATTGTGATAATATATATACATATATATTTGAAAAAATTTTATATCTAGTACAAATAATAATTTAAATTTTCTAAAACTTAAAAACCATTTCATTCAATTAGCAGAAACTTAAACCTTTGTTTTAAAAAAAAAAAAATGAAAATATAAATTAAATTCTAACTTTTTTAGTTTTAGAAAATTGATTAAAAAGTTAGTAAAAGGAAATGGAAGGACAGATGACACATTTAAAAATGCATGCAGTGACGATATGATATCAACTGATACACTTATATTGTTGATAATGAAGTACTGATAGTATCATTAATATTATCAGTTTCATTTGTCTGAGAGGATTGATTAGACGAAGGACAGTGATATGCACGGAATGATTTAAAATTTGGCCTTCAAATTTTACATTTCATTTACACTTCTCATCTATCTTTGGTTTCCTTTTACCTAAAATTATATGTGTTACTGTTAAATGATTAGAAAATTTAAACAACAATTTGGATTAAACACAACTTTTCATTTATATTAGTTTGAAGTAAGAAATTAAAATTTCAAAAAATGGTGAAAAATGCTGCTATTGGAGATAAATATGTGTAAAGTGCTCTATTAACTGATAACAATTGAAAAAATTAAAAAGGACTTTTAAGCAAAAAAAAAAAAAAATTTGAAATGAACTGTAAAAACGATAAACTAATGTTAATTCTATTTTTTTTTTTTTTTTTTTTTTTTTTTTTTTGTTCATTGACACTTTTTTTTAATAACTGATTTTAAAGAAGCTCTATCGCCATAGCAATAAAAATACGTTGCCATGGAAGTTTCAATTTAATTCAACAAAATGAAATTTCAAATTTCTCAGTATGATTTAGACGGCAGTTACAGTGAGGAGACCTTACCAATTCGCTATTATTTATCAGACAAATCTAAAACTGTCACCAAATTAGACATTAATACAAATAAGGCAATCAATCATCGGTTTTGATTCCTACTCTCTCTGATTTGAATTTTCTGCTAAACTTTTTAACAGAGCTTTCAAATACCGCATAAACAGACGATCAGCATAATAATTATGATATGTAAATTTGAAATTTGAAATTTTTGATAAAAATTGATTTTCAACTAAGATTAAAATTTGTAGCAAATTAATGATAAGCTTAAAACTAGAAGAAATATATACATGATGGTGCTTCTTCGACAACTAATTAATCAAAAGTTTATTCTTTTTCGACTTTTTTTCAATCAAGAATTACCACTCAAATTTAATTAATTTTTGATCACTTTAATAAACGAAAAATATTTATTGTTTTATCCTCAGCTGATGGAATCAAAAATAAACAAAAATTTACCCTATTCCTGGGCAATGTTATTTCAGTATGCAAACATAGTATAAAATAATTGCTTTGGTGTGCGTTTGATTTTAAAGGTAATGGTGAAATTGATGTTTTCATATTTAGAAATTAAATGAGCTATAAATATTGTTTATCAGTGATAATACTGTGCATGTGTGTATGTCTGTATGTGTGCATGTCTGAATATCTGTGTGTGTGTGTGTGTGTGTGTGTGTGTCTGTATGTGTGTATGAGTGTTAAATTTAGATGTTTTTATTTTCGTAAATATCCTACCATTGATAATAATGATATCATTTTTTTTTTTTTTTTAAATTTATTGAAATCCATTGAAAAAGTTTTTATTTCATTTTTATTATTTTTGTATGATTTTTTTTTTAATGAAAGAGATTGTTTATTATAAAATTGATCGAGTTTGTTTTATTTACAAGTTTTTTTTTTTTTCTGTTTTGATTTTATTAAACAGAAAGAAGCTTCATTGAAATCAACAATGGAAATTAAAAATGTGCTCATTGGTGCCATCGACCAGAGTACTTCATCTACTCGATTCATCATTTATCAACTGAATTCTCAAGCAATTATCGCAAGTCATCAGGTATTTTTATTTCTTTTTCCAATACAATAAAATAATATAATTAAAATAGCATCACTGTTAAATTTATTTTCTCTAAATTATGACACAAAAGTTTTCCTAATAAAATAATAACATAAAAATGTTTCAGATCGTTTAAAAAATTATGAGACGCATCAAAGTCTGAAATTTATTTCACCCATTTAAAAAAAAAAAAAAAAAATTGTTTCTTGAAAGATAAAATAAACAAAAATTCTTGCTTGTTTTTTTTTGTATATTTCTATAACACCTAAGATTGCAAATAATTTATTACTGGTACGGAATTTAATAAATAATATAATCGGTGTTTTAGATTGAAATTCGGCAAATTTTTCCACATCCAGGATGGGTTGAGATTAATCCTGAAGAAATAATCACAACAACAATAAAATGCATTGATGAATGCTGTAACATTATCAAAAAAACCGGTTTTGATATTAGTGGTATCAAAGCAATTGGGATTTGCAATCAAAGAGGTTGTTAATTAAGTTTAACCAATAATATAATTTAAAAATAGATTTTAAAAGATGAAAAAAAAAAAAGTTGCATGAAAAAATTTGATTTGATAGCATTTAGTGTGTTTAATTTTTAGAAACAACAATTTTATGGGACTGTAAAACAAGCAAACCTCTTTATAATGCTATTTGTTGGCTTGATAATCGAACAACTGATCTTGTCAATTTGTTTATTGAAAAAACAAGTAACAAGTAAATTTTTTGTTAAGACATTTTCTAATTAAATTTCAACAACAAAATTAATAAATAATATTGAATCTTATAAATATTCTATGTAGACACATATATATGATGAATACGGTAAGCTTATGAGAGAAGAAAAGGTAGTTAAAAAAAAAAGATTATTTTAAATCTCAAATTTAGAATTCAAAATGATTCGAAAGGATAAAATGCTTAATAACTTACATCACTCAGTTTATTTACCATTAAGTTCCATTTTAATAAAAAAAAAAAATTGAAAAAAAAAAATAAAAGAGTTTGTCAATCTATCAGAAAGCTTAATTAATTAAAAAAATTTCTCCTTTTTTTTTTTTGAAAAAAGCAAACCACTACATTCTAATCTTACAACTTGAAAACTTTGCTAAATATATATCACATTTGAAGAATTAGTAGAAAGAATTTTTAGTGTTATTTTTTTTTTAACATTTTAGATCAAGAGAGCAATTTAGAGAAATGACGGGTCTTCCAATATGCTCATACTTTAGCGCCCTGAAAATTCGTTGGCTTCTGGATAATGTTGATGATGTGAAAAATGCTTTGAGACAAGGTGTGTTTTCTTTTTCTTGCATGAACAATTTAAAGAAAAACAAAGAAAAAATGTGATGATTCATCTTTTTTTTTTTGTAAAAAATAATTGACAAGTTAAAAGACTAGTTATGATAATTTATTTAGCTTTCCTAGCTATCAATTTATCCAATTGTTAGATCTATATAATTTGATTCTAATGAAACAGTTTCCTTTTTTTTTTTTTTTTTTTTTTTTTTTTTAAATTCAATTTTTAAAAAGTATTTACTGGGAATGCATTTCAGTCAAAGGATTCAAAAAATTGACTGACAGTATAAATCAATGACATTAGCATTTATCATTGACATAACATCATGAAATTCCATGTTTCTCATTAAATGTTTTTTTTTATGAATAATTTGAAAAGTTGTTGGAAAATTTAGTTCTTCTAAGATTTACTTTATTAAACTGAAATGCCAAATTATCTATAAATAATTAGTAGATTATGATAATGACATAATGAACGTTTTTTTTTTTTTTTTCTTCTAATTTCACAAATAAAAGATTTATATTAAGGAACATTGATGTTTGGTACCGTAGACTCTTGGTTAATTTATAAGTTAACCGGAAAACATATCACCGATGTAACAAATGCTAGTCGCACTTTGTTAATTTCGATGGAAACGTTAAATTGGTCTGAAGAGCTTTGCAATTTCTTCGAAATTCCAATGAGCATTTTGCCGAAAATTCATTCTTCTGCCGAAATATATGCTACAATATGCTTAGGTTACAAAATTTAAAAAAAAAAAAATAAAATAAAAAGAAACTTATAAAACATTAAGCTAAAAGCAATAAATAGAATTACGTTATATTATGAATTCATAGCAATGTACACTTAGAAATGATTAAACAGACTAAGTTTCACTTTTATTTGACCTTATCAGTAATTAAAAAAAAAAAAAAAGAAAAAAATTTCTTTCCAAATAATTTAAATAACTTGAAATTACTAAAACACTAGGAGTGATAATGAAGCAAAATAGTCAAATAAATCAAAATTGATTTGATCTGTGCAATGGAATAAAAAATCATTTTTGAAATTTATACTAAGAATTATTTTTCATTTTCATTGATGAAATTTTATAGATGATAGTTAGTGTATAATTTAGGTTCCCTCACAGGAATAGCAATATCAGGTTGTTTGGGTGATCAACAAGCTGCTCTGTTCGGTGAGTACTGCTTTGAACCAGGTGAAACAAAATGTACCTATGGTACAGGCACATTTATGCTTACTAATATTGGCAACAATATGATCATCAACAAAAATGGACTGATAACAACAGTGGCTTATCAAGTAGCTAAACATTTCTTGTTCTATTTGTATACTATTATATAATAAAAAGCAGAAAAGCGATAAAGAATTATCAACTTGATAATTTCTTGTAAAGGATTCTTTGTTCGTTGATCTTTGTTTCATACAAAATGAAGAAGGAATGAAAAAGAATAAAAAAGATAATTATAGTATGACATTTTATTCCTCAGCTTGGTTCGGAAGGAAAAGTCTGTTATGCATTGGAAGGTTCCGGTTCCATTGGTGGAAATGCAATTCGATTCCTTTGCGATAATTTACAACTTATCAACGTAAGTGCGCTTTTTCGAGGACATATTGTAAAAGTGGCTTCATTAATTACTTTTTTTTTTTTTTTTTTGTTTTAAATTTATCAATGAATATTTTAAGCTAAGATATATTACTACTAGAAGACTTCATTATGCTTAAGTATGAAGAAATTTAATTTAATTAAATTTTGCAGAAAAAATTTCTTAAACTTTTCAGGATGTTTCCGAAGTGGAATCAGCAGCAATTTCAGTATCAGGAACAGATGGCGTCATATTTGTACCCTGTTTTACCGGTCTTTACACTCCACATTGGGACTCAACGGCACGTGGCATTATATGCGGACTTGTACAGACTACCAAAAAGGAACATATTATTCGAGCTGTTCTTGAAGCTATTTGTTTTCAGACGGAAGAAATGATTGAAGCTACATGCACTGATATGCCGTATAATCAGAAAATTAAAGCTCTCAAAGTTTGTTCTTTCTATTAGCTTGTAAATTTTCGAGATTTAAATTATTTTTATTAAAGAAGAAAGTGTAATATAGATTTTCCTTCGAATAATATAGAATTTTAATTTTAGGTTGATGGTGGTATAACGGTAAATTCATTATTCTTGCAATTACTAAGTGATATTCTTGGAATAGATGTGATCAAATCACCCAATGCTGAAGCTTCTTCTTGGGGTGCTGCAATGGTAGCAGCTATTGGTGCTCAAATTATCAGGTTTAATTATAAAGGATAGTAACTAAAGCACTTTGAAAATGTTTCCTCGTCAATTCATTATGAGATTTAAAGAATTTAATTTTATAATGTATCAAGTAAAGATGAAATTATAACATAAACAATATCTGTTGTTGTTTGATATTCCAGGTTATGAAGTTTACTGCGATACTTTGATGAGATAATTAATAAGTATAGCTTGCACAGGTACAGGTAAATGTAAATTGAAGAATGAATATAACAAATAATATAAATTAGAAATTTACTCTTAATATTCATAAATAATTTTCAGTTTCAACGAAATTAGAAAATATCACGCAGAAGATGGAATTATCCAAAAACCAAACTTAAGTAACAATCAACGTGAACTGATGATTCGTCAATGGAAAAAAGGAATTAGTAGAGCACGTGGATGGCTTCAAGATGATTAAACAGTATAAAATTACGAACTGTTCTGCAATAAGAAAAAAGAAGAATAAACGTAGAATTCAACTTTTCTACAATCGAAATGAATATTTTGCATTGAAGCAATGTCGAATTTAATCATATGAATTTTAAATTTCAAAGACTCCCAAATTAATATAACTTATTTTCAGAATTTGATATCAAATCTCACTAGTATACTATAGGATCTAAAGCAAACAGAAGTTAAACACGTTCCTGACTGTAAAATTTAAATAAGAACTTGAATCGGACTTAATTTTTTAGTAACATTTTAATCCATTTGAATAACTGTTATTATTGAAGACTGTTGTTTAAAAAACTCTATATTAATTGCAATAATTAAATGGATTTAAAAAGAGTGCTATAAATAATAAACAATAATTTATTGCTGCCTAATTTGTTCTACTCTTTCAAATCAAATTTCCTCACAAATTTGATCGCCATAATAATTTGTTACCTTTATAGCAACAAATTTTTGAACTTACTGCTTAATACATCAACATCAGATTGATAGGAACAGAAGTTAAAAGTGTACCTGCCTTTGTTTACTATTATTTCAAATGAATCATTCATTGAAAATAGAGTGGTAAACACATGAATCAGAAATTAATGAGAGATTCTTCACCTGGCTTATTTTCTGTACTATTCATTGAAAGCTACTTCATTATGCTGTTCATCATATAGCAATTCAGCAATTTATTCCGTAAAAAGGTTACATTCATTTTAAAACAATTCAAAAAATTACAATTTAGAATATAACATATTACATTGTTAACCGATCTAAAAAAAGATCTCAAACAGAGATTCAGCGTTTGTCGTGCAGACGGGCAAAGGCAAGGAAACTTACATATATGAAAATAATATAGCAGAGCATGCCAGTAAGGTAGATGGCACAAAATTTCAAAAATAAAACGGGAACAAGCAATATCTACAAGGGAATCCGGAATGATATACCGTTTAGCAATTAAACGAAATCTGTCAATCAATGCCATAGATGGATCTACTAGCTGAATTTGTGTTAATTTCGTATTTTGTTCTAAAAGTTAATTTCTGGTTATAGTATTTACATAGTGATACCATCAAGAAACAGAAAAAAAAAACCTCTTGAAATTATGTTAACATAAAAAAACTATCACATATGAGATTAAGTTTTTTAGTGTTCAAGCTTTTCAAACACTATTGCTTTGCTAAAAATTTTAATCGATTCAGAAAGACATAAAAAACTATTGTTCAAGAAAAGAATTAAGCAGATAAAACAGCAAAATGAATTCGAAAAAATCGGGAATATGAGCAACGTAAACTGATGGAATGTTAAGGGAATAATAATTAGTTAAATTCGAAAAGATAAAAAAGCCTCCTATCATGCTTGTTTCTCGTTTTTCCAAAACAGTATATTTACCACATTAGATGGTATAAAGAAGCCACTATCAATTCAAAAATAAGACAAAATTTCAAACCAATGAAATAAACTATTTAATTGCAGAAAGAAAAAAAAAAAATTCGTCTTGAAGGTAAGGTGTTATTGTCCGAGTATATGTGATTTTCTGAATAATCGCTTTTTAAAAACTTTGCAATGCTGAATTTCTTTTCTAAATCAAGAAAAATTAAGAAAATATTAAAAAAACACAAAATCGAGAAGGCAGAAGCGAAGGGAAAACATATGAGGTATGCCAAGAGGCAGTAAAATAAAACTGTTGGGAACATTCCCTTCTTTTCCTAAAATATCCCAAATATTAAGAAAATTCACCTTATTTCAGATAGAAGAGCATTTGATTCCAAAATTCTTTTTCAACTTATAACAATTTCAGTAGTATTAGTCAAATAAGAATGACTTCAGATTCTCCCATAAAATTCCTTTTGCAATACTAGCTTTTCATGAAATCAATTTCTGTGAAGAATAAATTATACAAAAAAAAAAAAAAAACAGATCTAATTAATCGAATTTTCAAAGCTGAAAATATTTGGTAAAAATAAAGCGACAATATGGGTGGCAGTAATAATAATAACATAAATAATAAAACGGCATGAAAAGTGCTGCAATATTTGAAGTGAAAAAAAAAATCAAAGAAAAATTTAATTTTCCTTTAAAAATCAGTAGGAAGCTATAGAACATTCATATTTTAGCCAAAAGGATGAAGAAGTGTAAATAGGACAAAAGAAATTTATCCTTAAGACTTTTTCTTTCAATTTAAATTCGAGCAATCAAAATCTAGGCAAACAATTTTAATGAATTATTCAATTTTCTTTGGAAATTCTTTTCTTACCTAAAACCAAATATGAAAGTCTCATAATTTAGAAATGAACATTTTTAAATTGCGAAACAGTTTTTGATCTTCTCCCATGAGAAATACTACTATCACTACCATTTTTTGGATAATAACGCCTTTCAAACTCCGGTGATGATGCCCCTGATTTCTGCCTCTGCTGTTGCAATTCAATCAAAGATGATGGTAGTAGTATAGGTTGTCCAGTACCTGGCAAACTTCGACTGCACGTATTTGGTACATTACGACGGTATAACGGCGCTGATCTACATGAAATAATAGTAACTTCGCTCGAATCCTGAAATCAGGCAAGTTAGTTAAAGACAAAGTTAAATTAGAAATAAATAACTTCGAATTTATCTGGAAAGAATGATAAGAAACAGAAAAATAAAACCTGCACGGAAATAAGGGAAGGATAAGAAATTTACTCCTATAAGTCTATTACACAACCATGAAAAACCTGTACAGACTTACGTAGTTATGTATAAGTATCATGTCCTCGGAAAAGTATTTCAACGCCGAGCATGACTATGCTTTACGATTCTAGTCAAAATTATAACATAATTTTGTAATGTAATGAACTGAATTGGCTATTCCCCTATAAAAACCAAATGGAAATTTTACAAAACATACTCGTTCCTTATTACCACTCTCAACGATTCGATTAGGACGTACGTAATGAGTACGCCAAGAACGTCGACGAACGATACCACCAGCTATCCTAGATGTTGGAGACATTGCTGGCTGTGTTGCTGCAGGAAGTTCTCCAGATACATTAATTGAAGATGAGGTGATTGCTCCTTCGCATGTTTTCTATAAAAGTTATAAAACTTTTTGCAATGTTAGATTTTTGAATCTTTTTGTGGCGATAACTAGAAATTCGGCAAGAATTAAAAAGAAATAGTTTTTTTTTTGAAGTCAACAACTAAATTCATTTAACGTGTTTTCATACATAATACTTGCCGATAAAGGTAGTTTTCGAGTGACATTTATGAGACATTCATCAGCATTATCTGAACTTTCCGTGCGTCTCTCACGTGACCTCACTGTTGAGTCATCAAACTGAGAATACGGTTGAAGCATGCTAGTAGAGGAAAATTCAGAAGCACTTAACTGTGATGTGCCGCTATTTTTTGCTGATGATGCAGGCAAAAGGAACCTAAAAACAAAGCAATTAATTCCACCTCCATAAGAATATCAAAAACTATCTAGATTTTAATCCATAGAATCGGAATTTTAATGGATTTTTTGAATTACTGTTAACATATGTAAACAGTATGACATTTTGTTCTAACTTCTGAGCAATTAATAAATGTTGCAAAGTTATGGAAAAATGCACTAACCATTCAGACCGTGTACGCATACGTCTTGTTTGCCTTTCATGTACCCATTCAAGATAGGTAAGTGAATGAGTACTTTCCAACAATCCACTACCATGAACTACATTCAACGAATATTTTTCATCATCATCACTATGCGAATGTTGAACCTTTAATTGAGATGAAATAATATTAAAAAACAAGAAACTGCTTTCCAGAGTAAGTAAACTACGACTTTTCTTTTACTGGAAGTAATAAATAGAAAAGAAAAAAACTGGAAGGAATCAGAGGTTTAGTCACTGATGAAAAAATTCAACAATATTTAATTCAAATTCTAAGAGATTTAAATTAAAATCCTAGGGAAATTATTTCATCTTATATATTTGATGCTAAATATTTCTGAAAACAAAAATTTCTACTGAAAAAATCTGTTAAAAATTAAATCAGAAAATCGAAAAAGAAAATTGCGCGTGAAAAATTTGAAGCACGCAACTGCTGTGTGTAATTTCAAGATCACTTAGTCTTGCAAAAACTATTTCATATCACAAAAGCAAAATTTCCTCAGCATTTAACCGACAAATTAAACAAATTATACCTCTGCAGCTGAGCTGCTTAGTCGTTTATATCTCAGTCCGTGATGACTTGTTGATTGCGTTTGTCGACGCGAATAACACCGATAATTCCGGTCTACCGCACTTCTATCATCAATGGCATCAGCACTCATAAGTACCATATCGGATTGACTGTGCGATTCCGGCAAAACTATTAAATAAAATATTATTAGTTTAATCGTATTTCTTTCCGTTGAAATGAATTTGTATAACTTTAAAACATTATTGTATTTCAAAAAGAATGAACTTCAGTTTCTTTTTAATTTTCACTTTTTTTTTTTTTTTATTTTGAAAGCAACACAGGCAATAAATATTTAGCAAAGATTAAAGCTCAACACTTTTTGGCGTGATGAGAAACCAACTGACTTAAAACCAGTAAAGGATTAAGGTCTTAAAGTCCTGTTAAGATTAGTCTTCGTATATCTTAGAATGAATAAACAAATTTCCTACACTATACAAAAAGCAACATCTTCGCCTTCTAGTAAGCTTGGCTTCATTGAAGTATTAGGATCAATCGATCAATCTTTCCTTCTTCTTCCCCTTTTGCCCTTGGTCCTTTTTACGATCTGATATTTGGATAGGCCCAGTATCCACACCACATGCTTATGACACTGCTGAGCGAGAATTCCTTATCTAATCATTTTGCAATACTTCTGCTCTCTCATTGTCTTTTAAAAGACCCACTTGCTCTCACAAACTTATTTACGCAAAGAGAAAACGAGAAAATGTTATTTTGTAAACATTCATTCATGACAGTTATCCGATTGAAGTAACATAAGAATAAAGCAATGTAAGCAAACCGGAAAAGAAAAAGAAAATTATTTTGCAGTCAATAATTAGAGATTTCATTTTACCAATTGCTGTAATTCACACAAACACTGAAAAAAGGGAAAAGGGAAGAACGAGCTAACACTTTCAATTATGTCATTTAGTAGGTCACATCATATACTTTCAAGATTAATTCCAAGCTTTGCCACAATACAAAGACTATTCCATTAATGAATCAACAAGCAAATAAGTATAAATTGCACAACTCTATTATGTGATATATTTTATTGATCGGTTCTTTTTTGAGTTCAGAATTATCATTCCTAAACAGTATTTCGTCAGTATTGAAAGAAAATTAGAAATCATAAGCAAAAATTTTGGACTTGTGCAAATATCAAAACACATAGTCATAAAGCTTTACAAGCATGAACAGCAAACTCGAATAGGCATGAGAAGAGATAGTTTTACAAATAGGCAGAAAACAACATCGGATATGGTTTAGATGAGAGTATTTATCACATTGCATCTGTACTCCTTCACAGTGTTATATAAATAGCGTTGCTAACTCACGTGGGATGTAACTTAAACAATGTGGTACTAGTGCAAATTTGTTTGGTAAGTATATTCAAAGTAATTGAGTGATTCAAAAGCAGAAAGACACAAATAGGAAATCTGTAAAACGAACAAAGAAACAAACGAGGTATATAGCATTCATTCCTTATCTATTTGCTATGCGCTAATGTCAACGGATTCCACACCACATGAAATCAAACATTATCATGTAAGTATCAAAAAGTCAAAAATAATGGATTGGGCAATAAGTTCACTGTAGGGAAGGAACTGATATTTCGCTATTTATCAACTGAAAAATGTTTCAAATTTTAGACTCTTAAATAAAAATATAGCATCAAGATGAATACAGGAAATTTGTTACACGAATTTAAATTGATATAGCGCATGCAGGAGGCAAGAAATGAATTGGTAAGTAAGCTTAAATGGAACTTACGGTTGAGAACTTAACTGAAATAACCATGGAGATTCTAAATTACAGTCTCTTCTTATAAGCCATAAGTGAAGCAAGACGAAGATATGCAGTACAAAAAGCATAGAATTGATGTAGCTTACATACAACTACAAATATTGCACCAATAACTGCGGTTCGTAAGAAAGAAGAGTATTAAAAATGAAAGAAACGAAAAACGCTTCTGCTGAACATAAATAGTAAAATGCTTCTGTTAAACTTCAATGGTCATAAATAACAAAATTAGAAATGAAATTGGTCAAAAAATAAACTCGATTACCAATGAAGAAATACTTGAAAATTTAATTAGAAAAACATTTGAAAATGTAAAAAGATTTATTTGCTGAGGTCATAAGATTTCCAAATGGCTTGGAAGAGGAAAACGACGCCAAGAAATAAGTTGTAACAGAGACAAACATAAGAGTATAATGCAACTTATTTGAGCGAATGATTATTACAGAATGAATGAAGGTGACAGTTAAAATTGTTACATATAGCAATTTTGGTAAAGAAATAGATTTAAATCAGCTGAAACTAAAAGTGAAGGAGTTTACAAATATAGTCAGAAAATATCCTAGATTACATATATAAGATAGCTCTAGTTCACTATTTATTATACTAAATAAACAAATAATGATCATTTGTTGTCATTACTTTCCAAGAAATAATAAGAAATAATCGTCAGCAGCAAAATAAAATAGCCCATGAACAATGCTATCTCGATGTTCACATTTCATTAAATTGTATATATTTATTTGAGCACCCACAAAAAAAGAAGGGAAGGACTGATATTTCGCTGCTTACCAACCGTTGTGAAAATTTAGTCAATTCTTCTTAATGATAAACTGAAATCGAAATTTAACTAAAAAAAAAAAAAAAAAAAACAAATAGAGGCTAAAACAATAAGCAATTATTTTTGTTAGAATTAAGCTAACATGTCACAAAACACAATTCTCTCCCACTTCGTGCATGGTTATTTTTGCACTCACAAGTTAAAATTGCAGAAAAGAAGAGTGAGAGAAGGAAACAAAGATGGAAATTATTGTGGATTGAAATGACAATGCTGAAGTAGGGCCCGCAGCCCTTAAAAATTGTAACTCCTTAAGTTGCGCAATTATACACCCAAAATTGTCGAAACTTCTGTATTCCTCAGACAAGTCGGTAGCGTTTGATGTTCATTTCCAAATGCAGTGGTAATTTCACTATTTGATGTTCTCAGGACTGGTTTCTGGTTTTTGCTTATCAGTTCATCGTCAGCGATCGTCGCAACTGTGATATGCTGAGGTCCAATTCCGAAAAATGTTCGTTTACAATCGGGTGCCGCCATAAGCGGATAACCTCTAGTTTGTGGTCGAGATTGTAGATTTGTAACGGATGTTAACAGAGTGGGTTCAAGTTCATTATCATCCACAGCAGTATCAACAGAAATACAATGCTTTCTAATGGGATGATGTATTGTTCTCACATTATTATTTCCGTTAACTTTCCCTGTTTCTCCCTTATCTCCTAAGCATTCAGTTCTATTAGCTGCCCAAACTGAAATATTTTCAACATTTTGAAGAAATTTTTGTTGATGATGATCGGAGTGCCTACCACAGTTAGAGCTAATGTGGTCGATCGCTGCAACGGTACTCATCGAGTATCTTCCAGCACATTGGGCAGCCATAATCGAGTAAGTACTGGGCGATGGTACTGGCCAATCGTGTACATCTAAAAGAAAAAATGAACCAGACAAAAAACGTCTTAAAAATACAGGATGTTCAGAAAATTAAAGTACATTATCTGAAAGAGAAACATCCCGGAAAAAACAAAAACCCAGAAGCATTCCCAAATAAAATTTCTAAATTAGTGCAGACAAGCTGGTGCTTTACTAGCTTCTTAGTACGGATTACAATGACTACGAATGAACTGGGAAAAATATGCTACGAGAAATAATAAATGACTTTTTTATAAAGTAGATGAAATGATGCATAACTAGTCTGCAATTTACGATAATTCATTCAAATCTAATAAAATAAACATACAATTACGTGCCAAAAAGCAAGATGTCACAGTTAATAGATGTTAAATCATTTTAAGTGCAAGAAAATTTGTTAGCATCAAATAATTAACCCTTGAAACTCAGTACCAAATGCCAAAGGTACTGGTCGAATATCAACACATCAAGCAATGTGGCATCAACCAATTCAAAGCAACATATGCAAAAAATCTAATAATGTTTCAAAGAAAATAAATTCTTTAAATGTCCCATCAAAATTTTTCGACGAGAAGCGATTTGATTATCCTTCTGACCAATTTAAGCTTCTTTATTACAGAGAAATCTATCTTTAAGTATTTTACTGAACCTTTTTTATCTTATTCCTAAAAAAAAACAAATAGGGTACAATCATTATCTCTCTTTTCCCCATACCAAAGTGATAGTGTACTGAGAATTTATAAAACTATATAAAATTATCCTAACTAAACAAATATTCTTTTAGCGATAGTTGCCTCCCATGAGAGCAGGTATATTTAATTCCGACTAAAAAAATTTTTTTTTTGATATTTTGATTCGCTTTACTCCTGAGTATTATCAAAATGTTTCTGAACTATAAAATAGAAAATAATTCCATCAACTAAAAAACAAACTGGACTGATATCTAATAAGAAAAAAAAAACATTCTTAGCAATAAAATAATGTCATTCAGATAATATTCAAGCTTTAAAGTAAAACGATGACTTACTAGCTGGTGTAACGAACCGTAGTCGTGAATCATTTTCATCAAATCGTAATGTTCGTCCAGTTATACGAGCATAAAATTCGTAACTTTCTTGTGGAAAAAGATTTGTATAACCAAAATTTTCAATAATTCTTGAGATAATCTCGGAAGCAATTTTGAATCGTATCACATCTTCTATCTTTGCCTTAAAAAAGAAAAAAATGCGGCAATGAGAGAGAATGATAAAAACTGAATAAGGAAACTGATAACTTACATAGTCTACCTTTCAAGAATTCCACTTTTGCAATGATAGCAGCATGCTTTGTCTCTAGTGTTGTGGAAAAAAAATCCTAACAATTGATTACTCCAAAGAATAATGCAATATAAAGTTTGAAATTCAACACAATCAATACGATAGCACATATCAAGCTATACTAAAAGTTCTATTGAATCAATTGATGTAAAATCGGAAGACATAAAATAAAAGTATACGAACCCGCTGCCCGTCATGAATGCATGAATGGAAAAGTGAAGGCGCTACGGAAATTCCAAGAGCTTCCGTTGTCATTCTTGAGCCAAATGAATCGGCTGACTCTGAGATCATATAAAAAGTGCCAAAAAGTAGTACAAGTAAGTGTTGTGATGGAATCGGTAAACTGCTTAATACTCTGAAATTGAAATTCACTTAATTTTTTCCACTTTAATAACTGAGTTTCAATAAAGTCAAAAGGATCATACTCCTACAAAGAACAGAAAAGTTGAATATTAGTGGTGGAAAAAATATTTATGTTTTATAAGCAATCCTTCTCTAGTGAATAAAAAAATTAACTTTTTTAACTAAAAATGTAAAAAATTTCATTTTTTTTTAACTGGAAAGTGAGCATATAATTTGCATCAAAGAAATTATTCAATATTAAAACTTACCGACAAAATGACTGTCGCTGCAGTTCAAGATCTGATGATATATTATACAAATCAAAAAGTTTCTGTTCATTTCCGACACCAAATATGCCACCAGGTAATTTCGATAAAAACTTCTAAAACGAAAAGATTAAAAATTATGGAAAGGAAAGAAAAGGATTGGTCAAGCAATTTAGTGGCCATATTCTGTGTATGGCTTTTAGAATTTAACTGCATCCTAAATATAATTTATATCCAAATCCAGATCCATACTTGAATCGTACGACTTTTAATGAATTTATTAGGTTAAAAATTCCAGTCCAGACGTGACTAATCGAAAAAATTAGAAAGATATTGCGGAGTAAAGAATAAAGAAATCTATACTTAAGGACATTAGAGCTACCAATTTAAGGACAACTGTAATGATCTAATGAATAATGATCTAATGAACACTGGAAAACTATAAGCAGTATCAAACAACAACATGCAATCGAAAAGATGAATCTTTCATTAATAGTTCATAAAAAAGCCTACACATCACCTTGATAACAGATGCGGCAGTATAAACACTGAAATTCGCAATATTTACAAGTCTTCCGTGTTGCATGATATGTGAAAGCTTTCGTACTTGAGCTTGATTACCCGGTGCACGCCAGATATCCTTTTTAGCAGGACCATCTTTATGTACTTTTAATAGCAATACCTGAAAAACAAGTTTAGTTGAAAAATTTTATGTTTAGTCATTAAATAGTAGTTGGCTTTGAACGATGAAGTATAAAAAAGAGCCTAAAATATCGCACAGTGAAAAATAAGCTGGGAGAATACAGAGAGCCCCAGCAATTTCTTTTCATTTTCTTTTCTCTTCATGCCAGAATATATTATTTTTGTACCAAACAGTAGTTAGCTTACTGATTGGACTTCTTATATTCAAATACAAGGAAAACATTCAGTAAGTAATAAAGAAGAATTTAAACAGTCTATCCAATTAATAAAAACAAATAAATTAAACTCAAGCTCATTAAACATATCCTGAAGCACACAACATAAAAATATGACTTACTAATAAAGTAGCGGGTATATCATGAGCAAAGGCTTCCTCAATTGGGACTCCAAATTTGACCCTGCAATAATTTGAAGATACTGAAGCAATGAAATCCTCCGTGCAAAAATGGTAAAAATGTCGTAAATTAGGAAAATAACAGTAATTTTTGTATTTATAAAAACAAGTAAAAATAATGACGATGAACAAATGATATTAATTATTTCAAACGTAAACTATTGGTTATCAAAAATCTAAGCAATTCTTTTGCGAATCTTCAGTACCCCTGAAATATGAATAAAATAACCTTTTTATCATTTCAAGCATGAATGTCATTGGTGACATTTAAAATTTAATTTCCATCTCATCAATAGAAAAAATGGAAGTGAAGAAAACTGGAGTAAAATGATCAAACTGTGATACCTCAGACTGAATAGTATGGTCGTCCTTAGTCTCTTGAATAATGAAAAGAATGGCTAAGATTAAGAAAAGAAGTTAAAACTCTCATACCAAGCCTACTGCACCAATCCTTCCTTATTATGATTACTCTGGGGAACAACTGGTAAATAAATCAAAATTCATTTGATAGCTTACCAACTTATGTTTTATTTGAAAAAATTTAAAAGATAGGTTCAATGCACTGACAACTTTCTAGTAAATTATGAAAGTAAAATCACGAGCACATATTTATATAATTACTTGTTGATAAATTTAGTAAAATAAACAGGACTAACTTTTCGATCCGTCCTCGATACCTATGTTGTGGATCATCACTATTGCCACAAATGACCATCGTGTAACCTAATGTAGCCACAGTCATACCGCTCTCCTCCGCTTCTTCGCGGTATGTTATTATCACTTCTTCCGTTTCCTCCGACTTGTATTCCAATATGTCGAAACGATCTCTTCACTGCTCGCAACAGTTGGTATTTCTGCCTTATCACACTTTTAACAGTAATAGAGCTAGTGTACTTATAACAAAGCGTTTGCTTTAATATAATGTCCTTCTCTTTAATACAGTATTAACTAAATCAGTTAACCGAAACAGTAAAATAGTCGTCAGTATGAAATCCGTTGACAATATCCAAATTAACGAATGATACGACAACCATTCAATAGAAAATAAAAACAGACAATGACCAATTAAATGTTTTTTCGAGTAATAAGTTACCGCTAACCTCGCTTGTTCGAAATACCTGAACTTCAATATAAATGAAACGGGATGACAGTGTAACGAAAAACATAAATAATAGAGATAAAATCTCAACTGAATAAAACGACAAAATCCTTGATTTATTATTAACATGTTTAAAGACAAATTGCTGAATGCTTTCACAGATAAAAAAAATATTACGCAAACCAAACAATTTCAATACTTAATATGGCACTGAACACAGAAACAATATCAAATTAATGACAAATGAAAATTATGGAAATTATTGTTAAATACATATAATATTAATATGTAACATCTATATATTTTATTCTTACTTTATGTTTAATTGATCATGATAATCGATTAGATTACCTATTTAATATACAAATACTTCGATTTAATTTAATCAACCTTGTCAATGTGTGCTTACTTTCATGAATTATAGAGAGGGAGAGAGAAAGAGAGGGAAAGGGATGGATGAATATTTACGTGAAAGTGTCTATCATTCTAAAAGTATTCATCCATTACTAATGAATAATATATTACAAAGTTACATTAGGAAAATTAAAGAAAAATCCCATTCCCTCCTATTTGCAAACACCTAGCATATTCCCACCGTATGTCGTACGTGAATTTTACAGGTAAATTGTTCGGATTCGACGGCTACAGACGACGGTTAAACAGTCGCGACATCATTTTATTGTGGTGATGGGTGATGGTGGTACGACTAATGTTGGTTGGTTTGTTTATTACATGGGCTCCCAAAAAGATATACGTAAGTCTTCTCACGTCATTCACGTTAACTGTACGATTACTATACTGATTGCGATAAGAGGGCATATAAAATGATAATGATAAAGCAAGGGATTAGAGCATTCTTGATATCGTAAAAAGGAAGTGTTAAAATTAAGATCAAAGACAAAATCAAAAAATAATTAACACAGACAGACAGTATAAAAAAAGGGAGTCAAGTAAGAAGTACAAACAAATATATTAGCATCAATTGATAAATTGATGCTAATGCTTATGTGCTAAAATACTACCTTTAAATTTATGAGTAAGTCTATCAGATGCTCTTATTTCAATCTTCCTTCTTCTCTTCATCAATTAGACTTAATTAAACCTGCTCATATCTAGCTAGTTCATAGAGTTTAACTGTATGAAATGAAATAAAATTTGAAGTCATTCATAAATTTGTGAATATAAGAGAGAAAAGAGTATGAACATCCTTTGACAGAATAAGCTTAGTAATGCTTCATAGCTATTCCCATATTTCTTTTCAAATAGGCTTGTTCAACTTTTTTTTTCTTTTTGTTCTTTCATTCTCTCAACACTAGAATTTATATTTGCAGTATAAATAAATAATTGATACAAATTATGAATGTGGATAGTACATTATGCAAAGAGAGAGAGAGAAGAGGAAGAGAGAGAGAAAGTGAATAGGTACATTTTGCTAAAATCAGAGATATGAAGCACCTCAATTCTTTTCGAACTTCTGAAATACATAGTCTTCGAGATGGTCATTACCGTAATACCTTCTCTATAGACCTTACTTTTCAGTATTTTAGCTTTCTCTGTTAGTTAACACAATGTGAAATACTGATTATAGGTAAAACTAATACATGTAATGATGATAATGAGGATAATTATTGGGTTAGAAAGTAGTATAATTATAGAAAGAGTAATCAACAATAATAACGCTCTGATAGCAATGATAAGGATAATGAAGAAGAAAGCGTTTGTCATCAGTAACTTATTATAATTATCCCTCTATCCAGTAGTCATTCTCATTATCAAGGATGAAGTGAAAAAAGTATTGCATATTTCTTGTATGTTTTATCCAATACTGATGTGTTATTTTATAAGCTGTCATTTGTTTGGAGTGTATTGGAAAAGCTTATTCACACAGAACCCATAATTTTGCATCATCAGAGTAAATTAAAGTTTCATGGATTTCTAAAGTTCTGTTTCTTCAAATTCGAATTATTTGGATGAACGAAAGGGTTCAATGAATCAATTGATAGGCATTTTGATAACAAATGACGTAAAAGGTATTAGCATAAGTTTACTTTTCTACTTCTCTTTTTTTCGACATTTTTTCAATTCAACTCATTTTATTTTTCTCGATGATTAATAGTGCTACTATTAAATGATGATGTGAAGAGTTCTTTTACGTTAAAAGATTTAAAAGTTATTAAAAGAAATTTGAAAGACTTTCATTTGAAATAGGAGCCATTGCAAGATTATTATAAAATGGAGTGTGGAAAAAACAAACTAGATAATTTGAGTTCAATTCATTTTTTTTTTTATACCGAGGATTATACTACCGTATATAACGAAGAAAAATTTGAAAATAAAAACACCAAAAATAATCATTCAGAGATTGTCATAAATAAATTAGTTAATTTATTTCTTCATATTATTCATTACCTTCATTTCATTCTAAACGATAAAATTTTCATAGTCATAATAATAATAATAATAATAATAATAATAATAATAATAGTAATAATAAGTAACAATAGTGTAAATAAATTCAATAGATATTTTCGAATTTTCTTACATCGGACGAATAATGCTTCTGAAAATAAAAGCACCAGAAGTAATTATTCGGAGATGAATTATGCATTGATTGAAATTTGGCTAAATTTAGAGTCATGAAGCAATGCTTTTAGGTGATGATTGATATGAAAGCAAGAATGCAACGTAATTACGATAACAAATGTTGTCGACGAATATGCGTACATAATGATTAAGTGTCAAAATTGTGAAGTAATTAAGTCATCAAGTAAGTAAGTTAAGTGAAAAGTAAAGAGAATTGCTTGAATAATTATTATCATAATTATCATTATCATCAACAACAACATAAATTAGAAATGTTTGTTACTATGAAATAAGAGTAACTTAGTGAATAATTTTGTGTTACTGCAGTTAGCTTTTTTTTTTTTAAATTCCAAAAAGCATGCATTATTGATAAATTATGAAAATTTTAGAAAATCTGGTATAAAAATAAAGAAATTTGAGTGGTAAATAACGACAATAAAATTTATGTAGAATTCATGATATCAGAATTGGAAATTATTTTATCAGCTAAAAGCCTTAAATTGCAAGTTAAAATTTACATCAAATGTATATATTTGAAACTAAAATTTTTTAAGATCGAGCATACATTTCAGATATCACTGATAGCTCTGATCAATTTATGTGCAAACATTTCATTTTTTCTGTTTATTCCTGAATGTTAGGCACATTAATCAAAATTTTCTCAAACAGCAGGAAATCTTGAAAAAATTTTTGTAATTTTTTCGATTAAGAATCAATTATCGTGCATGTAAGATAAGGTAAAATAAAGTAAACGATCAGTTAGAAAATATTGGTTCGACTTTATGTAAAAGATGATGTTAGAATGATAAAAGTTTTTTAAAGTTAACTAGACCAAATTGCTCATTAAATAGATAGAGTGATGAGTGATAAAGCTAACAAAAGTTGCTGATATCACATGCTAAAATGCGATTATGATGCGAATTAACCGCTCTTGAAGATTTCTTTTAAAAAGTTTTTTTTTTTCAATCTTTTGATGATATATTGAAAAAATTTTTGATAAGAACTATATGGTCATGATAATCCTGTCGTTACTGATATATTGTGGTCCAATAGAAAGATAATTTCAAACACTGTATGTAAAATTAAATAAGAATTTGTTAACGAATTAAGCAGAATAGTGCATTGTTGCAATCAGAATTTTATTTTGATTTCATCTTTATTCTACGATCCTTAAGTTTTGTTGTTGATGAAATTTAAATTTGTGAGAGGGATGAATTCACACAATATGATGTTTGAATGGAATAAGTAAATTCTGAAACGTTTAGAAACAAAAAAAGAAAAGAATTCTCTTCTTTAATCTCAAAACATTAGTAGGAACAAGAAAGGATGCAATAAGCTTGCAATTCTTGTCAAAATGAAATTTAAAGTTCCAAATTTCATTATAAAAGAACAAAACAAAAAAAAAAAAAAATTTTTGCTTTGCATTTGCAAAAATCCATCAATATTGAAGAAAGAAAAATGAAAACATTGTTTCACATACTGATTACATATATAATAAATGATATTCATCTTAAAAATATTATCAAACGATAGAAAGTGATAGTAAAGTAAAGTAAATGTCAGAGGTCAGCCGAATGTGTACTTATGACAGAAAATCAAATTATTATTAAAAAAAAAAAAATCTTTCAATAAGAATTATATAATTTTTTGCATCTTAAAGATTTTTTAATTTAAAATATATGCATACATTGGTTTTGCACGACAAAATGGTAGCAAAGAGGAAAAGAAAATTTTAGGTTGGCGAAAAAACAGGAAAGATTGAAATTCGTACAGTGGCCACAATTATCATTAAATGATCAATTTATCAATTTATAATTTCGGCATTTCGCATACAAAATATGAAAATGAAAAAAAAAAAAAAAAAAAAAAAAATTAAATGACGAAAAAGGAAATTGTGACCATTTCAACAATGATGGATGAAACTGCCTTTGCATGATGAATTTAAATTTTAAACGCATCACTCATCATAAAATTCATTCTTGTTTCTGCTGTTAGATCAAGAGAAGAAAGAGGGAGAGAGGGAGAGAGAGAGAGGGAGGAAGGGGAAAAGAAAAAAAGCG